GGACCAAGGGGCTGCGGAAGCGGGTCGGGAGTATCTTCTTATTCCCCTACGTGCAGCCGGAAAACTATCGGTTTCACATGGACTTGCGCTACCACGAGGACCGAATTGTGTTGCACAGTCTCCTGCAGTATGAGAAAATGGAGGAAGGCGAGAATTTGCCGACGGATCAAATTTTCTTTGATAACCCAGACAACTTGGTTTGGAACGGGTACTTATGAAGAATTGATTTGTTTTTTTTCATGCGATGAAAAATTTCTTGACACAGAAATTCCTTGACATGAGATGAAATTGCAAGGAGTACAAGCAGGAGGAGAGGTCTGCCACATTCCACTTTCTTGCAACCATCAACATTTATTTTCTGGAGGTAGCTACACACAAAAGTAAAAAAGTTCTGCTCCAAAAACAACCACTACCGAAACCAGCTACCTCCCCAAGACCTGGGAGCTCGACCCGCCGAAGCGCGGCAACCTCGAGGTGCAGTACATTTGCGCGCCCGAGTTCGCAGAGACCGACTTCCGGCTCACCATATCATACGTAAAAACGTCCCCACGCGATAATCAAGTTCGGATCTTAGCAACACAAATCCAGAAGTTTTGCGAGCAACGCATGACAAGTTGCAGTCCGTAGCGTAGTGCATGTCAGCAAGGACAACCGCATCGCGAATCCATCTGCTTTATCGTTATCTTCCTGTTTACAGCATTACAAATTCCAAAACGCGATTGGAAATGCCTCTCATGGAGATGCGCATCACAAATCGCCCTGTAATTGCAAATCTGCATGACAACTATGGGTTGGGGACGTTTTTCCTCAGGATACGCCATGGCTTCGGTCTACGGGAATTGGAACGTCGACCTGAAAAATCTCGAGCAGGAAAGCCGCGATATCGAGTGGTGGATGAGTTTGGAAGAAACCCCCCCGCACATGCGCGAGTTGGCGATCTACTTGCTTTATGCATTGCAGAAGTGCCGTACCTACTTGTATAAATTGCATTACAAATTGACTTAGCATTACAAATTGAATTTGTGATGCGGATTCGCCTTCAGAAAGAGATTTGCAATGCATAAACGCAATTAGTACGATGACGATACTTTTGCAGTGTATATGCTTCATTCCTTCGATTCCTTGCCAGACAGCTTCCGGTTCTTGGACAAGCTCCGCGTTGGGACGTTGACCATGATATGAATTGCAACAGTATCGTACTAGTTCTAGTATGAATTGCATTACAAGAAATTTGCTCAGCATTACAAATCGAATTTGTAATGCGGATTCGCCTTAGGAACCAGATTTGTAATGCAATAATGCAATTCGTAAGAGTGCGATACTTTTGCACAGGATACATGAAAACGGTGGAAGAGGGGTTGGCCCGGCTCGGGTATCGAAGTAGAAAAAACATTGTCAGTGTAACTTTGTGATGCGCAATCTGCAAGATGATTGCGGCTGTCATGCTGGGCTTGCTTTGCAAGGTCCATTCAAGCGGGTTTTCACGTAGTACCATCTGCGCATGACAGGTTTTCTCTCTCTATGCGATACAGTTACAGATTTGTCATGCTATTCCATCAAGAAAGCTACATTTACAAGCTTTTCTTCTTCTATATCGGGATTAACTTGTTAGGGCGGAAAAATCGGCAAATACCATCATTTTTGCGAGCACGCATTTTGGGGTGGCAAAAAAATTACGGCTGTTGGGGTTGTCGACGCTGCTTCTTTTCCTGTTGGCCATATAGATGCTGGCGCCACTCTTCGTTGTCAGGGTCCGCCCTCCGGCCCTCCCCTTTTTCCATTAGAACCGCAACACTTTGCTGAAGTTGCACAGGCCTGCGGCCCTCCGGCACGGAGAGCCGCGTCCCCTCTCCCACATCCAACTCCGTACGCGCCCAGACATCTTCTCATCTTCCCTCTGCGGCCGGATGTTGAAAATGCGGACGCGCCAGCAGTCTAGTGCCTCCGGAGGGGGTGCCGAAGGGGGGGGGGTAAGGGGGTCGGCTTGGGCTACCACTGGGCTACCATTTTGGGACATGCCAAATCAGCAGTTTCCAAGGGGGACTAGGGGGTCGGAATAGGCTACCGAAAGGGTACCCGGAAGGGGTACCCGGAAGGTGTGTCCGAAGGGGGCAAAAATGCACCCCCCTGACCACCCCCCTTGCCGGGTTTCCTCTTCCTGGCGAACGTCCTCGTTGTGGTCCGGTCCCGGTGGAGGTGGCCCAACCACTTCTCGAAGAGCGGGCCTATTCAACATTGCCGGGCCATCTGAGCGACAACGCGCAGCACGAAGGCGCTGCAGCCTGTTTCGTGTCTTGCTATGAAGGCCTTTTGAAAGCCGAGCTATCACGTTTCTCGTGGAAAAGATGAAGTGATGCTTTACTTCTGTTGATTTCCGGGTAGTTGACTTCCGGACAAGAAAGAAAAAATTACCCCCCCAAAGTGTGAGCTTACAAAATTGATGGTATTTGCCGATTTTTCCGCCCTAAACTTGAGCAGTACCTCTGGGGGTGGCAACAGTAGCGGCAATGACGACTCGGGGACGGACAGGGAAATAAACAAAGAAGCCGGTGCCTCTGGAGGTTCAAATCTTCCCGGAGGTGGTGAACAAGCTGCTTCTTCCGAGAACAAAATTTTGTCCTGCTTTCGTTTTCTCGACCGGACCCGGGAGGGGTCCATTAGCTGGATCGAATACATATCAAATGCAAAAGTGTCTGGGTCTGGACGAATGCAACTTGTGTTGCTAACTCTGGACTCTAACAAAATCTGTATTGCATGACCAGCAAGAGGCGCCCAGTTTGTGCTACGCGGGGAGGGCATTTGTCATGCGGGATAGGCATCAGGAAGGCCTCTAGAAGTATCTGATGCTAGATCATACATTAAAGACATCCCGAGTCATGCAAAATATGTATGACACACCTGGCAACCTTCCAGACCCAGACATTTTTCCATTTGATAATACAAGGTTCTGAACGACATTTGGTCGGAAATGTTTCTTGGTTTGGAGGAATTCGTGTTTTTCCTCAAGTTAAAAGTCACCGCAGAGAAGCTCGCGAAGCAAAAACTTTTGCTAAAAGCGCAACGCCCCCCGCCGATGAGCGCGGCGCGGAGGCGGGAGATGATGCGGGCAGGGCGGCACACAACGAACTTTTCAACCGATGTTGGGGCTGGAATGTTGAGTAGTTCAACAGCCAGCGGGGCGAAGAGGGGAAGCGTTCTTTCTGGTGGAGGCAGGGCTTCTATAATTACCTCCAGTTCCTCTTCTTCGAATAATAGTAAACGGCAATATCAACTGTAAAAATGTCTGGGTCTGGAAAATGCCAGGTTTGTGATGCATGTTTTCCATGACCCACGAGGTCTGGAATGCGAGGCCCAGCATGACAGATTCTTTGAGGTCTCTACCATGCCTTTCCTGCATGAGAAACCCCCTCTCAACTTGGTCAAAAGCGGACAGCTTTTGGCACTCACGCAACACAGATTTCTGCATCATTTAGAGTTAGCATGACAAGTTCCAACCTTCCAGACCCAGACATTTTTACATTTGATAGGCAATCCTTCACGACGACCACCAGTATCAACTGTAAAAATGTCTGGGTCTGGAAGAATGCAACTTGTGATGCTGATTTTGGATTGTAAAAAAATCTGTATTGCATGAGCAGCAAAGAGAGCCCAAGTTTTGCTACACGGAAAGAGCATTTGTCATGCGGTACAGGCATCAGGTAGCCCTCACAAAATCTGTGACGCTAGGGCATGCATCACAGACATCAAAAGTCATGCAAAACGTGCATGACAAAGAACCTCGCAATCTTCCAGACCCAGACATTTTTACATTTGATAACCAGCTCGGGGGTGCAAATCACGTCCAGCGCGGCCCCTGGTGGCGGGAAGAGGATCACCATCACGGATGGGCGGGCGAGGGATAGTTTTCTCGCAGACCTCGACGAGTTGCCGGAGATTTGCGAGGAAGAGTTTGACAGAGCAGCGGGCACGGATGAGGAACAAGAAGCAGATGGGGGTTACAATGGTACAGGTTTTAATACAGCTGCTAGTGGAGGCCGCAATAAACAGTCCAAAGACGACCAGCGCAGTGCCTCTCCCACTTCCCAAAAGAACAAGACTGGCAACAAATCCTCTTCCAGCGGAACAACAACGTCGACCACTGGCAACAACAAGAAAGTGCAAATCACACCCACCACAGCGGGGGGGAGGAGACTGAGCACCTCTGGCGGGGCAGCAGCATCATCCGCGCCGGGTAAGTCGACTGCTGGAAAGAAAAACGTTCAGATTGCCAATATTAACACCAGTACAAGTAGCAAAGAAAAATTAGGCGAAGAGGATCATGCCTCCTCCATGCAGATGGCTTTTGGCAAAACGGTCTCAGAGCACTACAAAACCGCGCGCAGCCGGGATTTGCCCGCCGCCCACGATTTTATTCCAACAGGTGTTGGCAGTGGGTCGTCCTCGTTGAGGACAGCGGCGAGCAAAGGTGGAAAGTACGGAACAACTACTTCGCAAACCACCAAACCCTTCACGCTCTGCAGCCTGGAAGAGGTTTGGCAGGCCCTTGACCGCGATGGCGGCGGCAGCATCTCGGAAAAGGAGTACATCCAAGCGGTCAAGCGGTACCAGTACCAGCGGGTGAACCGCTGCATTTTGTACCACTTAATTAACGCCGACGGGATTGGCGAGATATGCTTTGCAAATCTGTCTGGGTCCGGAAGGATGCAGGGTTTGTCATGCTTGTCTGGCATGATTGAAGAGCTTGTTATGCGTGTCCAAGAACGCACCCTTTTGCATGTCATGCAAAAACGCAGTTTGTCATGCGAAAACCGCAACACTCACACTTAGGCACGAAAATACTTCTCATGCTTGGCTGTGCATTACGGAGCATTCACTATTTCCAACTAAGCATTACAAGTTTCAAGCCCCAGACATATCTGCATTTGATACGAGATTTCCCGGGACGAGTTTCTCGTCGGAATGGCGGAATTGGCGGCCAAGAGTCTAGGCCACTTGGACCACGAGAAGCAGGCGCGAAAGGATCCGGTCGTGCCGAAAGCCAAGCTCAATACCACGAACAAGGCGCCACTACTTAATACAGCCGCGGTTTCATCAGCTTCGCCGCTTCTTGCTGTTACCCACACATCAAGCCTGAAAAGCGACCAGGACCGAAATCCCGCTTCGCTCTACGCGGTGCTTCCCTACCGGCCGGACAGTAAAACGCGGGTGGGACCGATATCGCGAGGAACAATCCCCCCTCCCCAAATCGAAAACGAAATTTGTGATGCTGTATTTGAGTACACAAGTCCACTTGTATTGCTAGAAGGCAAAGAGGCGCAGCTGCGGCCTCGTTTGCGTTTGGAAGCAATTTGTCATGCTGTTTCCCACTTCCAGCTGCCTCCTGTCATGCTGAAGATGCAAGGCTTTTCCACGCAACCCAGCACTACAGTCCGCATCTCTTCCCTTCTAGCATGACAAAGCTGCCACAAATCTGCATCACAGATTTCCGCTTGGATATGGGGAGGGAGGATTTTTCAGTTTGATAACCGACTGCGAAGAACGTTTCTTCCGGAACGAACGATCTCTTCCGTTTATGCAGTTCAAAAGTGTCGCACTTGTACTAGTATAAATCGCATGAGAAATTTCCTCAGCATGAGAAATGCAATTTGTAATGCAGATCTGCCTCAAGAAAGAGATTTGTAATGCATGATTGCAATTACTGCAAGTGCGATGCTTTTGCAATGCATACCGTTTGCCGAGTATCGAGGACGACAGTGGGAGAGAAGAAAAAGGTCGTGGTTTCGTTGGAAAGGTAGGTCCTGAGCAAAAACGTCCCCACCCCAGAGTTGTCAAGATGGGAAATCTGCAAGACAAGTCAACAACTTTTGGCTGGTGTGCATGACAAGTTCTTTGGGATCGTATTGTAGTCCTCCTGCTTAGGTAGTGTAGAAGCGTCAAAGATTCAGCACCTTGTCGCGATGATTCAAGCATGACCAATTATTCCGAAACACAATTAGAAAATACCTCTCATGTAGTTGGGGCTGCGCAACATCCATGAGAAACATTGTCGGCCTATCGATAATTTGCGTGACACCTATGGGGCGAGGACGACGTTTTTATTTTGGATAAAAGAGCAAGACCACCCCAACAGCCGCGCTGTTCGGCCGCGGGCAGGTATTTGGCGGGGAACAAGCGGCAGGAGGAGGAGAACAGCAGCAAGGTAGCAGTACAACTGCTCGGGATAATGATTATCGTGGTCCAGATTCGGAGGAAGATACAGATGGCACGAAAGTCATCGCGAGAACGAGTTCCAAAGGACGCAGACGCCGGAGCACCGTGGATCAAGACCACGAGAATGCCAGCGGGCGCGCGTCACCCGGCGCACCTGCCTCGCGTGCGGGCACGCCCATGGGTATGGGATGGGAATTTTTGAAGTCTACTTTACCTTTACGATAAGATTTTTTGAAGTTGTAAATGATGATGATGATTGTGATCTGCTGTCGCCGCGTCAAGATGCATGAAACTAAGATTTTTACATGTGGTACCGATTTACAGGCACTGAAACGAAAAGAGAACACTTCTTGGTGCTTGATCTGCACGCAAATTGAAGAAATTTTGGCCGTTGAGCCCGAAATTTTCCACTCCCATACCTGCCGAGCAGAGCAGAAGTACCAAGCTCTTTAGCTTCATGAACGCCAGCCCCTTCGTGAACCAGCGCCGGCAGCGCGGGTGGGTAAACAGCATGCTTATGGCATTCTCAAACGTTACATTCTCACCTGTTACATGAATTTGTCATGCAAGACTGCCTTAAGCCGCCAGATGATCCAGCTGCTACGCATGACAAATCTCCGGGAGGCCAAACAGCATTTAAATCTGTGCCAAATCTGTGATGCGAAAGCAGCAAGCTTGCCCCTTTGACTGTTGCCATTCTTGCATCACAAATTCATGTAACAGCTGATGCGCAACATTTGAGAACTCCATACTGGTGATGGAGGATTTCGACACTAGCTCGAATTCTGACAGCAGCGAGGACAATTCGGGTGACTTTGAAGATTTTCTGAAAACAAACGAGGTCGAGAGGGAAGTTGCTGGGCGCGGGGGAGTATGAATTGCAAAAGTATCGTACTCGTAGTTTTGCAATTATACAAATTCGCTCAGCATTACAACTAGACTTTGTCATGCGCTTTCAGCTTAAAAAGGGGATTTGTAATGCATAAATGCAATCGCTACGAGTACAACGATACTTTTGCACAGGATAGGGGGCCGATAGTGACGACTACTACCCGTTTGTCGAAGCGTTCACTTCTCCGGAAGAAGCCATTTTGTCAGAGATGAAACGGAGAACCACGACGGCCGCGAGCGGGATGTTTTTGGACAATAGTGGTGGTGGAGGAGTAGGAGGAAGAAGAACGACGGTGAGGGATTACGAACAGCAGGAGTTGTACGACGGAGAATTTTGATTGAAGATGGCACCGATCATCAAGTGAGTACAGGATGTCGATGCACAAACAACTGTGCGATTGATGTGTACTGTATCGCAGTCAACAGACAACGCGTGAATCCTATCCACGAAAATGTGTATATACCAAAAAAACAGTCAAACAATTGATGATGATTAGACGAAGACGTCCACGCAATTTTACGATTTGGATTATTTCTTCACTTCGAGCAAAATCTGGTACTAGTAAGCGCCGGTATTTTTAGCTTTTCTATTGATGTTTGTATGATGACGATCATTGAGATTGAGAGACGAGGAATTATTAGCTGCATAAAACTGGAAAAGTTTTACATTCTGGAAATGGAAAAGATGACATTTACGACTTTACAGAAACGATGTCAATCTCGGTCGAACGCGGGCGAATTTTAAGTGAAAATTGTGACACTCATACTTCTTTCGAGCTCTAATTCAAAACAGCACATGCACAGTTTCAATGAACTACGTCATTCAAGATATCTTCACACTCAGTAGCTAGTATGAATTTGTCGATGAGCATGTCTTAGCTCTGCATGTAAAATGAACGACTGCAAACACTTACGCTTTTACCGTACAAAAATTTTGGAATGAAGCTTCAACAAAAGCGACATTACCGCATCTATTCAGCGACCACAGAACGTAAAGAGTGGCGCACCTCGTCCCATGCGAAGTTTTGCGCTCCTCGTTCTACAGCGGTAGTTTTTTCATCCGCGCAGCAGCTGCAGGCTGCAGCTGAGAAGGTTCTTTAATATGTCGTCGTCGTCAACATATTGCGGATTTCGTTCTGCTCAAAGAGCCTCTGTCGGTCCTGTCGTTCACTTATCTTGGCTCATCACTCAGTTCGAAGATGTCGCTCCGTCCATCCCTCTGCGCAGCAGATGAAAACTAACTACCTGCTCGGTCGTGTATTGCATAGCTCATGCAAGAAGGAAAAGTACTAGCACCTTCGGTCATCTTTCTCGTACTCATTTCGCCACTCCTGTGTGCTGTTGGCCCACAGCACAAAAGGCCAAGGCGCTTCGGTTAGTCTCATCAAATTGTGCTGCCCTGCGAATATACGGCATAGTCGGTATTTTTAGGACGGCCGTCTTCATGTGTTTCTGTTGCGTTGAAGCCACACAATAGAGGAAGATAAAACTTTTTTGTCCATTCATTTCCAGACCCACACTTTCACTAAGAATCACTACTCTTCCCCCCGTCCTAAACGTATATATATTTTCTCGCTCGCTACAGCACTACTTGATCTTCGGCCCCGTTCCTCTTCCTCTTTTTGACTTTTACAACTTTCCGCAACATTTACAACCACCCATCTACATCGAAACTACGCCACGACTCGCTTAAAAATTCCAATACTTCCCGCTCCTCATCATGGGAAAGATCGACGCCCAGCCGGGCGACGGTGCCCCGGAAGTTTTCCGCGTGAAGAAGCCGGAGAAGCAGATTGCGTTGAAGGTGGTGAAAACGACGCAAAATAACTTCATGGACGCGATCAAGAAGTCCAACGCGAGCGGAAAAGTGCCCTTTGTGGTGGACCTCGGTGGCGCTATGCGGGTCAACTTCACCTACCACGGCTACGACACGGTCTGCGACGTGGGCGCGATGGTGGCCGCCAACACGGGCGAGCGGGTCCCCGGGAAGGACATTGGGGAGCAGATGCGCAGGAAATACATCGAGGGCGTGCAGAAGATCGGGTACACGGTATACCTGTTGGGGCAGAACTTTCCGCCGCAGCACATGTGGGAAAGCTTCTGCATGGTGAACGGTGGGAACTTTGACCAGCAGCGCATTTTTGACAGGGTACTCACTGATTCTTTCGTTTGATGTTTCTATTTTTCGGGAAGTAGAAGATCTATCTTGCTTCTCTCGGTTTCTTCGTTTTTGATCTCTCATCTTCGCACCTACGGGTAAAGATCTTCCGATTCCACTCTTGCCTAAATCACGAACACGAACCGTCATATTTTTGCGAAATACAATCGCGTTGGTCAATTGAAATTCATTGAAAAAGAAAAACAAATCAAAACTACACAGAACCTTAACCGCACCCCCGCCTGCGTCGCTGCCAACACCAAGCCAACCGACACTGCGACCGACGGCAAAGGCAACCCAACGCCGGACGCGAAGATTGTACCCAACCCGCAAAGCGGGCAGGTTGTGCTGGTAACGGCGAAGCTAAGAGCGGACATTCCGCGGTTGTTTCAGTGCGCGCACGACGCTTTCGGGGACATGCTGGACAGCGGGAAAATGGAATTGATGGTGGTCACCACGTCGGCGTTTTCGTTTGATTAGACGTTAAATTGTCTCAGTACTTACTATCCATGTACTTAGTTTCCGGTGCCAAATGTTCCACAAAGCAAGAAACATCTATGAGCGCAATCGTTATCGTACGTAGCCGTAAGTAAGCACTTCCAATAGATTACTGGAAAATCTTCCTAGAACACAGAGCACATGAATTCAGGAATTCGAATTTTGTTTTCAAAGTAAGTAATACCATAACAAGCATCTTCTTGTGTAGTACCCCTAACACGCACATTTGTGTCACTTTCTTCTTGCTGTCTGCAATGCTTGCAAACTGAAAAAGTGTATGAACGATCCATCATAAGCAGCGCGCACGCAGAGTTGAAGCAAGAAGTCGCGAGGAGTCATCAGCTTCGATTTGACACTGGTATGAGGCATGTGTCCCGTCCACCGTTGTGGAATATTTTTTGTTCCGGAAGTAGATGAAACGTAGCATATTAATGTGGACTTCATCGTCATGTTCGTCGGGCTCAGGATGGGTGTTGATTGTCGTGGGCATCGAAGTTGAGTGAAAGAAAAGCAAAGTTGACAACTTCCAAAACTACCACAATTTGCTTCACATGCTCGTGCAAATCGTTTTCAGTATCGCTATCGTGAGGGAAATGGAGGAACCGAAGAGGCCGCTGTTGTACCAGAGACAAAACGTCGCACGCACCAGAGACCTTCAGTAATTTTAGATTTCGTTCTTCATCACATCACTTTTTTTTTCAACATTGGAACTTGAAGTGAGGAAAGAAGTGGAACGAAGAAAACTGCCGCCAGTCAGCAAAGCAAAATCTTGCTCTTGTGCGAAGAAAACATCTAAACGAAGCCATGTGGATCGTCACCATCGCGGGATGGCTCCTGTGGATCTACCTTATCGGTATCGGGACGCTCGCAGTCGTGATGGACAAGGACTATGATCCGGACGCGGAGTTTTACTCTGAAGAAGTCGAACATGACGGGTCGTTTAACGAAGTGAACGTGGTGAAGCGGCGGCGGAAAGAAGAGCTGGTGACCGAACAGGAGGAGACTCGTGTTGGAGAACAAGAGGCGAAGCAGCGTCCGTGGGGAGAGCGTCTCCGACGGTGGCTGCCGTCACGACCAGCAGCGAGTAGTCGAGTCCGGCCCATTTTCTCGGACGCCGAACTACTGGAGATTGCCAATTCGGACCGCCCCGCTGCCACGAGGGATGCGATTCTTGTATGCACGCACTCATTTGTCCGCGCCTGAGAAAATGTGTTGTGGTGCTCTTTTGCCTTTATTCCAGCTCCTTTTATGTTGTAACATAATGAATGAATACCTTGTAGTTTCTGAGTGTGTGCCTACCTGGCTTCAGGTGGGCGTTTAAACATTCTATCTTGATGTTGGAGAATGTAAAACTCAAAGAATGCGAGTTTCAATTTTGAAGAAACTCAAACTGTGACTGATTGGAGCTGGGCAAGGCATGAAAATAACATTGCCTGTAGGTCTCGCCCTGGCGAGTAAGTACTTATTTCGATTTCTTCTACTGCAGTCTCGGACGTATAATTTGCGCAGGATATTACAGGCGTCGCCCGAACATGGAAGACGAGGATGATGGGACCGGAAAAGAGGATGGGACGTCCGCGATCGCGCACATTCCGCGGAGCAGCGAGCACGACCCCAGGCAGACGATCAACCTGCTCATCGAAGACGAAGACTGAAAAATGAACAAGAGGGTGACCAATTCAGCTCGTACCTAGGCAATCGAGATATTGAGCAGGTGTCTCGTTCATCCTGCTATATAAGTACAAGAAAAAATAAGTAGCTTTGGTTTGGCTCGTTCGATCGCGTGCGTCAGTTCAGGCGTATCACTCGGAAATTCTGTTTAGCCTATCGACAAACTACTGAATAAGTCGACTCATATGGAATCTCACCGCCGGTGAGGGTTACATACTGTTCGTCGAGACACGAACACGATCATTTTCGAGTCGATAAAATCGAAAACCCCAGTGTTGATCGTGATTTGCCATCTCGGTCTTCATCGGTTTTGGCATGGGCGCCCGTCCTCTTCTTGCTTGTACAGACCACTGCCAGTCGGTGAAAAACAATGTCGGTGTTGGCGTGATGGTTCACAAAAGCATGTTTTCTTGTCGTTACCTTGTGCACTTATGTCGGTGCGAAAGTACAGAATCAATATTTGGATGAACTGGTAGACGGCCTAAAATCCTGGCTGTTGCAGTTCCGGCCATTTGATCATGTAGCGTCCGTAGCTACTAAAAGAAGCATCTAAAGTGTAGATAAATTTCCTTGGAGATTAACACATCCTCCTCACAATTATCATATTCTTGAGAGAATTTTATGGAAGAGACAGAATGTTGAGATTGAGAAGCGCAGAAGTAGAAATTTCCCTTTTTATCGACCCGACGCCTACATAATTCATGTGGGCGTCGGGGTAGGGTCTTCGTCTTTCATTGAAAAGAAATTAAAGAAAGGGCTCGGCTCGCAATCAGTTAAGACAGCTCATGCATGACTGCCTCTTCCGCTAAAAGAGTATAAATATAGTAAAGTAGAGTATCGCAACTCATCCAACGACGCAGTGCCAATTGACATGACAGATGTCGATGCGGGTCGTCGCGAGTTGCTTACCGCAACCGTAGCACCATCATGTCAACGAAAAAGCCCACGGTAAGAGCCGGTGACGAATTGTCACTAGCAGTGCTTCTCTCGCGGCTCCTCTTCTTCAGAAGTATGGCACCGCTACGACCAGCTGCCGTATCTTCCCAGAAGTTGAACGAGCACCACCCCGGCACCACTGGCAGTGCTGAAAAAATGCAGCACTAGCCACAAGATTGCTAGGCCAAGTGCCTAGACGATTTGCCCGCGACTATGACGAGTTCCAGCCAGTCGCCCACGTGGGCCAACATGCTGGAGTCCCTCCTGACCCTCCGCATCCTGCTCCAGAAGAACGCCGACGTGGTGGGGCGGCCGCAGTGGGTGATGCTCACTTTAATCCAGGTGATTGCGGTGTTGTCCGGGTGGTTTGTCTTTTTCATGCTGGACGACGTGGATAAACTCCGGACCCTATGCAATGCAAAAATGTGTGGATCTGAATGTGTAATGCAAGTTTTCAAAGGCAATAAGACCTGTAATGCATGAATACGATTGGCCATTTTTTTGTCGTGCTGGAAGTCAGCTTGTAATGCTAAACGCGAACGAGTGCGAGCGCAATAAGCCGAGCATAGCGATAACTTGTCATGCTATTATGCCGTACAAGGAGAAAGTCTGCAATGAATCGAAGTCTTAGCAACACAAGTTTCCAGACTCAGACATATTTGCATCTGATAGACCCCCGTAACCAACAACTACGCTGGGTTCCAAGCCTACCACCAGGGCGGAGAAGCGATGGAAACGAACTTTGCCGCCCAGATTCTCCCGTTATCGTTCGTCCTCGCCTTTTCCCTGTGCTACACGATCCCCTTCGCCTTCCTGTACCGCCAGTATGGCATGGTGATCTACGGCGAAGAGCAGTCCCGCATGATGGAGATCCAGCAGGTCTACGGATACTGAATGCAAATATGTCTGGGTCTGGAAGAGTGTGATGCTGCTTGCGCATGACACAGAAGCTCTGGCATGCAAGTCCCAGCATCACAGGTTTTGATCAGGTTTTCCCATCCCTAATTCGCATGACAAATGCCACCTTTGGGAGACAACAAATGAGCAACTTTTGCGGCCCATGCATGACAGATTTTTGTCTGGTGTGAAACGCGCGTCAGAAGTTTTCATGTTTCCAGACCCAGTTACTCACGGAACGCCGGGCCACTTCAGCTCGTCTGAGATCCCAAAAAGATCCTATCAAGATCCTGGCCGCTGGGCTACTTCGGCGCCCCGAAATTACGAATCAGGCCCAATGTTTTGGCCTTCGCTTTGCCTCCTTTGTATAGCAAATTTGCGCGGCCTTTTCTGGGCGTGTCGCATAGCTGCCGAGCCTACCCCGAGGGCCGCCCTGTTTGGGAAGCGCGATTTTTTTTCCTGTTGCGGGGGTATGTCGGTATTTTACGGCCACGCAAAACTTGGCGCGGGCCAGCCGTCAGGGAACGCGCCGCCCGCCGCGGCCAGCGTGTCCTTTTGCCCCCCCTTCTGGTGTGCTTCTGTAGTTTTTTCGCGGTAGTCTTGGACATTGGATAGGGGGTGGCGCGGAGGTGTTTCGACCGCAGGCATTCTACCTGCCCTCCCAGCATCCGGGAGCCCGCAGAGAGGCGATGGCCTTTGGCGCGATGCAGTGCCAAGTGTTTTGCTTCTTGGGGTCGCCGGGATCGGCAGGCCAATCCTGCAGAAAACATGTCAAACAAGGGTGGGAGTTTTCTCCCCGCGGCACAATTTTTGTACTCAGGAGCATTCTCCAGTGGAATTCGGCCAGGCACGGGGCCATTTTCCAGAGTTCATGGCCGCCATCTCCATTTTCAAAAGTTCCGATCAAGATCCTGTCCAGAGGACACTTTTTTCGCCGCTTTTCCTGGCCCCTCCCCCGCCTAGAATCTACGGATTTGGCGGCGCAAAAAAGTGGCCAAAAAAGTGTCCTCTGGACAGGATCTTGATCGGAACTTTATCGGATCTTGCTCGGAACTTTTTAGTAGCTTTTTTTTGGCCTCTGAAGCTTTTGCCATACCCCCGTGATTGGCGACTTTGAACCTTGTTTGAACCTTGGTCGGATCCTTTGTTCGGGGTTCAAGAAGTGGCCTCTCTACCCTTGAAACACATGCTGTTTCTTTGATTCAACAAATTCAGCGGCTTCGTTTTTGAATCAAAAAAAAAACTCGCTTTGGGGCTAGTGCGCCGTCTTTTGCTGGACCATTTCCGACCTGGCCTTGCCCTCGGGCTCGGGTATATCTGGCCCATGGAAGCGAGATGGACCCTGCGGACGGGGGCAATTCCGTCCATTGCCGGGCCCCAGATTGTTCCGCGTCGCGCCAGGGCTTTTACAACCGCTCGACCACTCGCTCGCCTTTGTTGGGCGTGGTTATTCGTCACTCCCAGCAAGCTAACGCCTGTGGCAACGCCCGCGGGGCGTCTGCCCTTTCTCACATCTACCATACCTTCGTGTAACGCGCGTTACACGAGCGGTCTATGCTTCCCTTTCGTCGGCAGGCTGTCCCTGGAAGCTACAGAGGGGCGGACGCTCCGAATCTTTCCGACCCCTCCCTCTGGAGTGTCGGGGGTGATCTTTTCAGGATCTTCGTGGGTTCTCAGGGCGTCGTCTGTGGCCCGTCGTGCCGCCAGTAACCCAGACCTATTTGCGGTTCATAACGGCGTGAGCAGAACGATCTACTGGCTGTCACACTACCTATTCGCGGTTATAACCCTACTTCCCGGGTTTATGCTCCAGTCCTTCTTCCTGTTCATCATGCCGCAGGCGGTCAAGGGTGATAGCTACTTTTTCTTCGCGGAGGGCTCCGCGATGGTGTTTTTTTTCACGCCGCTCTGCACGCTGTCGAGTACTTTTCTCGTCGCCGCGTTTCTCGCGTTGGTGATTGATAACCAAGAAACGTTGGAAAAGGTCTACAGCCGGACACCGTATTTCGTCGCCTGCATGATCCCCATTCTCATCGTGTTTGCCGACATGATGTTCCCCGGGCGGTACAGCTTCTGGCACCTCTTCATCATGGTCCTGATCGGTCCCGCGGCGCACGTCAGCGGCATGTGTCCGGCGACCAGCGAGCCCTGGCACTCGTTGTTCCACTTTCTCATGTCGTTGTTCCTGCCAGGGTACTCGGCGACCAAGATGTTGATGAAGCAGCTGGTTCTCGCCATGATTATTTCCTCTACCTACGAGCAGATGGGGTTGACCAAAGACATGGAGTTTGTCTATTCCGAGGCCAGCGGCCGCCAGCGCGACATAGCCGAGCTCACCACAGCGATCGCGCCCTGGGAGGCGTCGAAACCCGAGCAGGGCGACGAAGATTATCATTTGTGGATGCGGAAGCGCGAAGAATTGAAGAGCCTGCTGGTGTATCAAATGTAAAAATGTCTGGGTCTGGAAGAATGCAACCTGTCATGCTGTTCTTGGACGGTAAAAAAAATTGTATTGCATGACCAGCAAGAGGGGCGCAGTTTGTGCTACCCGGACAGGGCATTTCTCATGCGGAAGGTGCATCAGGAAGCCCTCTAAATGTCTGCGATGCTAGGTCATGCATCACAAGCATCATGGGTCATGACAAACATGCATCATGGGTCATGACAAACATTAAAATTGTAGACAAGCATCATGTAAAAAGTAGAAGCAGATACTTCAACAGCCGCGCAGCTAGCGGGGGGGTGACTCCTGTGGTCCCCCCCCACCGGCTGTGCTTTTTCCAAAACATCCAGGAAAACCGTGTCGCGGTTCTTTTTTTTTCCAGCAAGTGGCTGGTGGGGGCGTAATATAGGATAAGGAAGTATGTAGGTCGTGAATGTAGAAAAGACTAAGAAGAGCCGTGCTGGTAAGGTAGAAAACCGGAACTACTTCGATACATAAATGGGGTCGTAGTTGGGTATAGTATTTTTTGGCTGAGATAAAAAGAAAACATCATGAACAACGAACGCGGAATCGGAGACAACGCGGCAAAGCGGGGGCAGGGGCGCGGCCTGCCAGCGAGGACACGGCAAGGGAATCGGGACAAATGGCCAGGGGCTCAAGACAAGTGCCAATGAGGGGAGCCGCGCGCACCGTTCGAGCTACAGGAGGACGAGGAGGACTAGGCCAACGTGTGGAGCGGAGGGGGAGAGCGGGGAGGACTAGGCCAACGTGTGGAGGACCAGGGATACGCGTGTGGTGCGGAGGGATAGAACGGCTGCGAAGCGAGAACAAGTTGCTGGGGCAGGCGACAAGTTTAAATTTGGTACAAAAAAAAACAGCACTCAGATACCCGCGCCATCTGCTTAACTGTGTGAAATATTGTGTCGGCCCTGTCCTGCTTGGTCGCAGGCCGGTGTTCGTGAGATCAGATTTCACATGTTAAGTAACGCACACCGGCTCCTAGCTTAAAAAAATGATGAATTTACATGAAGATGGGGCCTAATCAAAAAAAAAAAAACATGCATGACAAATCTGGTTCTTCCAGACCCAGACACTTTTGCATTTGATATGGTGCTCGGTCGCACAAAATACGTGGAGAGTTACAATGAGCGATACCCCTTTATGGAGCGCTCAAATGTTACATTCTCAGCTGTTACATGAATTTGTAATGCAAGAATGGGAAAAGTGAAAGGGGGGAAGAAGTTGCGCCTTTTGCATTACAAGTTTGGCGCAGACTCTCAGCCTGTTGGGCTCTTCCACAATTTGTAATGCGAAGCAGCTTGATCGCGTCGATTCTGATTGCCATTTTGCATGACAAATCATGTAACAATTGAGAATGTAACGGTTGAGAACGCCATGCCCTTCCACGAGCCCCGGTATCTCCGCTGTTCCATCGAACAGGGGACGGTCGAGGAGGCGAAGCACTGCCGCAATGACCCAGGCTTCCGCACAAGTCAGAGTAGCGTGATTGCAGATATGCATTGCAAATTCTATGTCTGGGCGGTCTGGAAGAATGCGAACTTGTGATGCGCGTTCCGCGTTCCGGATCATAGTACAAAAGTTTCTCATGCGTGGACAGCGAAAGTTGCCCACTTCTTGTCACGACCGAAACAAGTGGGAATCTGCCATGCGGAGGAGGCGTTGACTCCCCTTCTGAATTGAATTCGTGATGCTAGGGCCTGCATGGCAGACCTTGTGGGTCAACAACAACATCCATAAACAGCATGACAGACTACATCGGCACTCATGAAGATCCAGACCCAGACATATTTGCACTTGATTCCAGACCTTGGAAAACAAAAGCTGCGGCTGGACGACCAGTTGCACCGGGGCGTATGCATTGCAAAAGTATCGCACTCGTACTAATTGCGTTAGCGTTATATTTATGCATTACAAATCCTTTTCTTAGGGCAAATCCGCATGACAAATTTGATTTGTAACGCTAAGGCAATTTGTTATGCAATCTAACTATACTACTAGTACCATACTAGTTTTGCAATTCATAGGGTGACAACAAGGCTGATTTCGCAGGAGCAGAAGATGCGGCGTGGTCTGTAGCGGAGTTTTTTCGCAAAAGAAGACGTAGCGGAGGTGGTGAAGAAGATGCTAAAGATGATATTTCATCGTCTTCTCTGGAAATAGAGTCAGCATCAAGAGCTGCAAGTGCAACATCTTCACGAGGGGGCACATCACGTAGAATTAGCGAAGATGAACAAGAAGACGACAAAAAGGCGGGAGGTACTAAAAATGATGAAGTGGACGTTAACGTCAACGAAGATGGAATCTTCGGAGCGGATGCAGTGGCAGCGAGTTTGGGGAAAATGTTAAAGACTTCTGAAAACTCGGCCGCTGCGAGGACCGATGCGGAGAACGACGAAGCAACGGCTGGGCCCGGGGCGGCTACGACGATGGACAAAGTGGATTCAAATGACCAACCACGCGTGAAGACTAGCAAGCAGCCAGTTGAGCTGACCATCGATGCGTTTATCTGGAAAAAACAACTGCAGAAAAAAGCAGCGGACGCCAAGGACCGGAAGGAGTTCGAACGCAGAAATCGAGCAGGGGCAGACTCCACAGGAGCAGGGGGCAGACCTGGTATCAGGAGTCACCTAAATAACGACAACTCTGACGACGAGATGCTTCTGTCGTCGTGGTCCAATGCTCCGCGACACGAAGACAGCGACCCGAAAATGGATAATCATGCGTCAATTTCTCACCATGGAAAAGGGACAAAGGGCACTGGTGAAAAAGGGCTGCGCATCCAGCTCGCTTCGGGCGCGCCGATCCTGATGGGAGGAGCTGGGAGGAAGGGCCAAGATGAAGATGACAAAGACCTTTCCAGAATGGATGCGACGCTGTATTCTGAAGAAGCTGGTGCGGGGGACGTGCCTCCGGAGGAGGACGAGGAGGGAACTACTAGTACACGCGGCGAAAAGAGAAAGACCGGCGAGCAAGAAGTTGAAGTTCTTGTCCAGAGTAGTATGACCGTCGAAGAAGACGAATCTGGCAGAAGTAGAGACGAGCCTCGAAAGGTTCTGGAGAAGGAAGAAAAGGGTAGTATGGGAGGTATGGCGGCGGTAGCTCATTTATTTGTAAAATATTTTTTTTTTAGCTATACCACTTAGCTACGCATTCTCTTTTGCATGCCAAATGCCCCATTACTGTAGCTAGTTAACGTATCCAATTCGAAGTCTTCAGCCAGATTCCGGAACAGCGGAGCACCCACGATCCGGTAAGCACGACCTCCTGCTGAACGGATTTGCGACGAATCCGTGTCCCAACTCCATGGTCTACCACGCCTTCGGCTGCCGCAGTATCGGCCTTCGTTTTCCTTTCGCAGACGGGCACTCCGCCTTTAGCTACAGTAATGGGGCCAATAAATGCATATCTTGCTAGCTATTTAAGCGCTATATAGAAAAAAAAAAAATTTTTCCAAATAAATGAGCTACCGCCGCCATAGGAGGCGGTGGAAAAAATGACCAAGAGAACAATAGCCCTAACTTCTACAGCTACCCAAGCGAGTCGTTGGTAACGACCGTTCGCTTCAACAACGCCGACCCGCAAGCCGCTCCGATGCACCTGGTCCCCGAATATGACAGTGCACAACTCCCCCTGCTTCCCCTCATTTGTAATGCAAAAATGCCAAATCCTGTCTAAGCCTTTTGGCTGTGCTTGCATGACAAGTTCTGGAAGGCCGAACTGCACTATGCTCCCCTGCGCGTGGATTTGTAATGCAGAGACTTCTGCATCCTTGAGGTGGTTTCTGTTGCTAGAAATGCACTACAAATGAGGGGGAGGGGCGGTTGTGCACTGTCATACCGAAACTGCCGTGCCCATTTACGAGCCACGCATTTGGAACGCGCAGCAGGTGCGGATCAAGGTATGACAGCCTCAGGTTGGAAATCCTCAAAGTGGAAATAATTTGTAATGCAAAAAGACGACTCCAGTTGAAGCGCCATTTGTAGTCGGCGCATGACAAATTTCGCGGGCACTGAAAACGTGTCTGTCATGCTAGTTAGGCAAAGGGGTGCCCTCCTCTCATGCTAATCAGGAGCTCAATTCTGAACCCGTAGAAGCACAATAGTCGGCCTCCATTGCGTTCTCTGCAATACAGTCTTTTTGGTGTCGCATTTCATGCATCACAAACCATTTCCACTTTGAGCATTTCCATTCTGAGGGTGTCATACAAGGAGCGCAGCTTCTATTGGTGCCCCTTTCACGGGTACCCGTGGCCGCCGTCCGCGGGCACGGCAGGAACCTTGAAAACCCGGGAAGACGACTGGCGCGGCGGCGCCTCGGGTAGCGTGATGGACGACGACTCCGGCCACGGGTATGGGAGTGTCAGGATTGAAATCGACAAAGTTCAAGTTGAAATAACTTGTAATGCATAAAATCGATACCAGTTGGAATCCCAAGTTCCAAGCGGTGCATGACAAATTTTGGCACCGTCTAAATCCAGTCTGTCGTGCTGTTTAGGGACAGAAGGCGTCTTTTGCCATGCTACTTCAGCAGCTCTATCTCAGACCCCAAACAGGGTGTCAGTCGGCCTCACTTGCCATCCCTGGCTGCAAGAGAGGCACTTCATGCCTTGCAATTTCTGCATGGTAAATTATTTCAACTTTGACGATTTCAATCCTGACGCTTCCATAACGGGAGCATCGCGCACGGCCCGGAGCACTGGACCCGAGGCGGTCCATCCGAGGGCAAACTGGCCCGGCACGACAAGTCGGGGGTGTTTTGGTTCCTCCGATTTCTGGACTACGTCGGCCTGTTTGGCCACGTGGTGCTCTGGGTGTACTTGTTAAACTACACGGAAGACGCACGGCGACAGGAAACCGGCATGCAGGAGGTAGAGGAGGAGGCGTCGGCGACGGCGGAGAAGGAAGATGATGATGAATTGGCAGCTGTCACAGAAGAGAACAAAAAAACCGCCATGACATCTTCAGATCGACGAGCTCCACCTATTGCAGGAGCTGGTGGTGCAACACCCGGACACGAATCGGAATCTACTCAGCTCGCCGAAATAAACAAGGCCGCTGCAAAGAGAAAATCGAAAAACAAGAACGACCGTGCGAGCAGTAACAGTTACCCCCCACCCGATCCCGACAAGGCGCTGGAGCTTCATCAGTTGACGAAAAAATACGGCTCGGGGGTACTCGCCAACGATCACCTGACGTTCGACGTCAACCGCGGGGAGATTTTCGCCCTGCTGGGGCACAACGGCGCGGGCAAGTCGACTTTGATCAACCAGATCACGGGAATGCTGCCCTGCTCCAGCGGCGAAGCCTACGTGGCGGGCTACAGCATCAAGCGCGAAATGAAGAAGGTACGGAAGGCCGTGTCGGTTTGCCCGCAGGACAACCCCTTGTACGAACAGTTCACGCTTCGGCGGCATATCGAATTTTTCGCCCGGCTCAGGGGGTACACGGATAACGGGAAAATCACAGCGTTAACGGAGCAACACGCCGAGGGGCTGGGGATTTCGCAGAAATTGGACACCCTGTGCAAAGACTTGTCCGGAGGGCAGAAGCGGCGGATGTGGGTGTTAGTCGCGCTGTTCGGGGACATATCAAAATGAAAAATGCCCCCTCCCCATATCAAAATGAAAATATGTGATGCGGATTTGTGATCGCAAGTCGCGTTGTCATGCTAGAAGGAAAGCAGAGATGCCGACTGTTGTGCTGCCCGGTGTTAGAATGCCTTGCGTCTTCAGCATGACAGGAAGTAACTGTAAGCGGAAAACAGCATGGCAGATTGTCTGCAAGCGAAGGCACAACTGCGTCTCTTGGCCTTCTAGCAATAGAATCCGATTTATGTACGCAAATACAGCACGACAAGTTTCGTTTTCGATATGGGAATGAGCGGGGATTTTTCCTCTTAATAGGACACGCCGCTGATTCTGATGGACGAACCCACCAGCGGCATGGACCCGCAGGCTATGACTTGCGCAAGCGTTACATTCTCAAACGTTACAATAGAATCTGGAATTCGTGTTGCATGATGAGCATGACAGACGTGCAGACCGTTCCACTTTCTGCAATACAAATTTCGCCAAATTGCAGTGGGGTTTGGGGCTCCGGAACTTGTCATGCGCTATCCTATAAGACTTGGCTAGATCGTGCAATCTTGCATCACAGATTTCCATATTCTATTGCAACGTTTGAGATTGTAACACCTGAGCGGGTTATACAGGCGCGCCGCGACTTCTGGGTGTTATTGAAACACATTGTGAACCAGGAAAAGCGTGCGGTCGTGTTTACCACGCACTACCTGGAGGAAGCGGACCTGCTCGCGTCGCGCAAGGTGATCATTGCGAACGGCCGCGTGATGGCGTTGGGGACCAGCTCGCAGCTGAAGCACCAGTGGGGCGTGGGGTACTGGGTGAATCTCAGTCTGCACCACGGCCACAACCCGACCTTGGCGGAGCGAAGGGACGCGCGGAAGGTGCTGGGGAAAGTGTTGAAAGAGGACGTTTTCGAGAAAACGCTCGACAGGCTCGCCGCGTTGCAGGACGAGAGGACATCAAACAATGCCGCTAGAAGCAGTAGACGAAGTGCTTCGAAAAGAACCCAGATCCAAACGAAAAATCCGAAGATGAACGATTTTTTCCTCTCCTACAGCATCCCCTGGGAAAAAGTGTACTGCGTGCCTGCACTGCTAGAAAAGATCGAGGAGGTACAAACCTACTACGGCATCCGGGACGTAAATGTGGAAATGACCACGATGGAGGAGGTTTTCCACCTTGCCGGCGAGGCCGCTGAGCGCGACAAGGAGCGCCGCGCGCTGGAGAAACGGGCGGAAGAGGAGAAAAAAAAGCGAAAAAAAAGTACTAGTACAACGAACGACAAAAATATTCAAATTGCCGCCGCTGCCACCAGGTCTGGGGCCGGTGGGGCGGGCGTAGTAGATGAGACCACTGCGTCGAAAATGGATGACAAAAGTGCAAGAAGAGCATCAATTTCTACTAGCCGGGACTCCAGCTTTCCCTCGTCGCGCGAGGACAGCTATCCTGTGCAAAAGTATCGCACTCGTATTGCACTCATGCATCGCAAATCTTTTCCTTCAGGGAGGTAAATCAGCATTTACAAATTCTATTTCTCATGCTAAGGAAATTTGTAATGCATTTGTACGAGTACGATACTTTTGCACAGGATAACAGCATCTTCGAAGCAAAAGAGCCCTTGCTCCTCCTCACCGAAAAAGACAAAGAAAACGCCGACCTGGTGGCATTAACGACTGAGCGAAAAAGACTCCTGGAAAACGACCGCCGCTTGTCGATGGCCCCGCTGCGGCCGCGCCACTTCTCGCTGCCGCGGTATCCTGTGCAAAAGTATCGTGCTCGTAATAATCGCAGTCATGCATCACAAATCTCGATCCCAAGGCAAAACAGCATGACAAACTCCATTTCTCATGCTGAGTGAATTTGTCATGCGATTTCTACTAGTACTTTATTACTTTTGCAATGCATACGCGGCAGGTGCACGCGATGATGCTGCTCCGCTGGACGAGCGAGTGGTCTCAAGTGCAAATATGGTCTGGAAGAATACAAACTTGTGATGCGCATTTCAGAAGACAGAAAAATCTCTCGTCATGCATAGGCAGCAAAAGTTGCCCACTTTCTGTCACCAAAATCAGGGACGTGTCATGCGGATTCGGCATTGCGAACGCTTCTCTTCAAGACCTGTGATGCTAGAGCTTCCATGCCAGACCTTCTGTGTCATGCAAAAACAGCATGACTCTTCGTTCCAGACCCAGACATTTTTGCATTTGATAAGTCGGGGGCGTATGCAATTTTCAAGCTGATCTTCATGTCGGTTTTGATTCAACTTTTTTTCAACGCAATCCGGCCGGACACGGACATTACGGACTTCTCCGAACTTTTGACCGGCCAAATGGTCAACATTCTGTTCTGCTTTTTCGGCGGCATCATCTGGGCGATCCTAATGCTGATGGCCGGCTACCTGAAGATCGTCGGTCAATTGAGCGAGGAGCGCAGCGACGGGTTAGTGCGGCACCTGCACATGCACGGCATGGGACCGATGGCCTATCACGTGGGGAATTTCTGCAGCTATCTCCTGCTTCCCTGCTTGATTATGTTCCTCAACATCTTTATCGGCATGAGTCTCAACGTGCCCCCCTACAACATCACAACCCCTGGTGGTGCGGGCACCGCGTTATTCTTCGTGCTTTTCCTCGCGGCCATGAATACCTGTTTGTATGAGATTCTCAAATGTTACATTCTCAACTGTTACATAAATTTCTCATGCAAAAGCACCATCATCATCCTCGCGAGCAAGCTGCTCCCGCGTGACAAATTTGCGAAGGGCTAGCCCGCACCTAAATCTGTGCGGAATTTGTAATGCTACAGGCGCAACCTTCCCCCTTCCCCTTTTCCAATTCTTGCATCACAAGTTTTATGTGCTAACAGTTGAGAATGTAACAGTTGAGAACGCCATAGTTTGATCGCCCAGGTTGTCGCACTGTTCGACGCGAAGTTTCTGCAAGGGACCTACTATCAAGTGCAAAAATGTCTGGGTCTGCAAGAGCCAAACTTGTGATGCTGCATTTGGATGCTAAAAAAAGCTGTATTGCATGAGCAGCAGGAGGAGTCAAATTTGGCTACGCGTAGAGGGCATTTTTCATGCAGGATGTGCATCGATAGGCTCTCAAAAAATCTGTGATGCCATGGCATACATCACAGACATCATGGAAAATGTGCATGACAAACTTCTCCTCTTCCAGACCCAGACATTTTTACATTTGATACCCACCTAGTTTTGTTGATCCTCACACCGCTAATCAAACTCGCCTTGGAAATTGTCAACATGGTGGGGGGTGAAAGCAGCTTGGGCCTGGTCGTGTTACCGGTGGACGGGTCGGGGTCCGGCACGGTCCTCTGGAACGTGCTGCTGGGATTTTTCTTCCCTAACATTGCCATGAACAACGCCATTAGTCACATCTACCTGTTGCACAACACCGCCGCGCTGGCCGGGTGGACTATGCCCGCAGAGTGCACCGGCGCTGGGGACATAAAATTTGTGCTGCAGAGTCTGGTTTCCACCTCGCGAAATAAGAGGAGCAGCGGCGCCTACACGCCAAATACGCCAAAGAAAGGCAAGAAAAAATCCACTTCTAGTAGTGCTTCGTCGTTTATTTTGGAAGACAGAGACGAGCAGGACGAGGGAGGCAATGTTGGAAATGGTTCATCTATTTTTGTAGACAAACTTTCCTACTCGACGGGTATAGATGATGGTGAAGAGGACGGCTATGAAGAAGGTAAAAGACCCTCTAATATGTTCCCGATGCCGTCAGTATCGAGGTTTTTGGAGATGTACGTAGCGAACCGAAGACAGGAGAAGCGACAAGAAGCAGCAGCAGGCAGGAGAACTACCACAGCAAAGAGAATTATAACGAGGACATCAGCAAGAGACCACGAAACAAGGATGTTAACTTCTAAGGACGACAGCGGCGTCACCTCACCAGATGAACTTGTTGAAAATTATGATGTGACAGCGGTACCCACGAATAGCACCAGTACCAGTGCCACCCCGTCCCTGGACCCGTGCGACCCGATCGAGCAGCTGACAAAAAATACCCAGGCTGCGGGCTGGTACTTTTGGCCCACGCTGCAGAACCCGCACGCGATTCGGCGCGCCGAGGCCGCGATCGAGCGCTTGGCGAAGACGGGGAAAGTATCCTAAGCAAACGCCTCCCCACCCCATAGTCACGTTGGGAATCTAGCAACACAAGTCTCCCTCTGCAGTATAGGGCTGATTGGCAAGAGAAGCCGCATGAGAAAGCCATTTTCACATCCTGTTTACAGCATTACAAATTCCAAAGCATAATTAGAAACTCCTCTCATGGAGCTGCGCATTGCAAATGTTCCTGTCAGTGCGCATTTGCATGACAGGGACGTTTTTACTCAGGATAGAAGGGCTTGGCCGACGTTCTCGCTTTGTTTGGCGAGGACCGCAAGAAAGACCTTGCGATGCTGAACGCCCTCGGCCTGGGCTTCAACTACATTGACCAATCCGTAGTCGGCAGGCTTCATTTCGCCTACTTCTACGGGCTCGTTTACAGCGGAGTTCTGCATTGGCTCCTGCTGTTCTTCTTCGAGCGCGTAATCCGGCGGAACCGCATGACCAAGTATGCATTGCAAAAGTATCGTACTCGTATAAATGCATTACAAATTTCCTCAGCATGAGAAATAAAATACGCAATGCGGATTTAGCTTCAGAAAAAAACTTGTAATGCATGATTGCAATTACTACGAGTGCGATACTTTTGCACAGGATACCAAGCAGGTCGAGGCCATTGCCCTCGAGGAACTGCCGCCGCCCGAGGAGGCCCACCTTCGGGACCCCGACGTTGTGGCGGAGGAGCAGCGGCCCCGCCAGCCAGTACTGGAACTAGACGGCTCATCTGGACAAGGACCAAAAACCGGCCTGGAGATCTACCGTACGTTCTCGTCCGCCATGCTGCATCCCGGAGAAAGCATTTCCAGTGGAGCGGCAGAACCACAACTCGCAGTCGGGCTCGGCGCGGTTGTTGAAAATAAAGGCAAGGCACCACCCGCGTCGACCGCCATTGCCGACGGTGCGGCCGTATCGTGTGCGAAAACATTTACCAACCCATTGTGCGAAAAACCACTATGTGATTGCCATGTGTTTTTTCCTAGAAATTTTCTAGGCGGGTACAACGCGAGGAACAAAAAACAAAAGCGCTCGCAGGGTAAGTACGTAGACTACATTTCCGAATTTTCGGCCCCGCTCGCTCAGCAGCCGGCTCGCGCCCTCACTGTGCGCAACTACCCGATCCCTGGCGCAATGTCGGTGCATTTTTCTGCGCAGCCAGCGTCGAAGAGGTGGGCCGCTTTCGATATACAATCAAGCTCAAGCAACTGACTGTGGTAGTTGTGTGATCTAGATTAATAAAAACAAAATTTTGAAAATTCGCGGATTTCAACTTGAAAATCTGATCCAGTCAGCCTCAGCACCCGCTCTCCAGCATCGCTGAGCCTCGGGCGGGACGACCGACACGTTTCGTCCGTCATTTTTCGCTTCGACGTCGGCTATTTATCGTTCCACCTTGCATTAAAAATAAATTTTTGAAATTTCGCGAATTTTCAACTTCAATAAAAATAAAATTTTAAAATTTCGTGGTTGGTGAGTTGTTGCGGTTGTCTTAAATAAACCCATGTCGAGTCACGCCTCAATCTGGCTCCTGTTTCGTTTCCTGCAGCCGCTTCACTTGAGTGATTTTTCCATGATAATTATCCGTCCATAAAAATAAAATTTTGAAATTTCGCGGAAATGTACTGGCGCATATCTGTGTTTGCGCGGAAGCGACAGCGAGCGGATCCACCGCCCCATCCCGGGTTGTCGGTGTGGTGTGGTGTTGGTGGCTAGCAGGCCTGGGTGGATCCAGTGCCCCGGCCCGGAGCGTTGGGTGTGGCAGTTGGGTATTTATGGGTCGGATTCACCAGTGTCTCGGCTGGAAGCGTGCGGTCGTTGCGGATGGCCAGCAAAGAAATCTGGATGGCTCCACCCCTCCCCTTCCGGTGCAATGGGGGTGGCCAGAAGGTCTTCGCGGGTGGGGCCGAAGATAGGCGCCGTCTCCCAGCGCGCCTGTCTGTGAACTGACTGACTCTGTGTGTGAGTCGGCGAGTGCTCCTGTGAGAAGCATCACTCCGCTGAGGGTCGCTGATATCTGACCGACCGCCCGTGTGGGCGGCCCGCCCGCCGGACCGACGGAGCCGGGCGGGCGTCTTGCATTGGCAAGCAGTTGGCCCAGCAAATTTTGCGCGAAACCGAAACGCCGCGAGCGTGAGCGTTTCGCCGCTCTTGGGCAATAATTATTAGCTTCATTTTTGCTTCCTGCGTTTGGGTCGGGACTGCATTGTCGCTTTCGATGCACGGCCGCCCGGGGGGATCGGATCCGGTCTTCCGCCGGTCAGAAGGACCAACCAGGAAAACAAGCTGAAAATGATGGCCTCGGAGTAGTAACCGACGGCAACACCACCGGTGACAACAAAGATCATGCAGCTGCTGGAACTACAGATACAGCTATCTCAGCCGACAAACTGGTGACGAATTTCCAGATCAAGAGTCTGGGAGAAGCTGCAGGCAACGACCGGGTCGCAGACCACCTGTTGGCCGCCGAGTTCGCCATTGACCTCCGCGGCGTGCGCAAGAGGTTCATGGTCGAGGGAGGCAAGAAGCCCATGTGGGCCACCAAGGGGGTCACGCTGGGGATCCCGGCGGGCGAGTGCTTCGGGCTGCTCGGCCCCAACGGCGCGGGCAAAACCACGTTGTTCAACATGATGAGCGGCAACGACGACGTTGGGCCGCCGACCACGGGAAAAATCCTGGTCTTCCGGCGGGACGCGGCCTATCCTGAGTAAAAACGTCCCCACACCAGAGTCTAGATGGGGAATCGGCTAGACAAGTCCACAAGTTTTTGCTGTTTTGCATGACAAATTTGGACTCGCAGCGTAGTGCTGTTTGAGGTAGTTCTGCAGCATCACAGATCTAGTAAAAAATGCTGATTGGAGCATTACAAATTCCAAAACACGACTAGAAAATGCCTCTCATGGGGCTCCGCATGACAAACATTCTACGCATGCAGATTTGCATGACAACTCTGGGGTGGTCGCATTTTGTTTTGCATGACAACTCTGGGGTGGGTACGTTTTTACTCAGGATACGGCCGCCGACGCGTTCACCTTTGCGCGCACGCTCACCGGGATCGTATGAGAGTTGTGCACAACCCCCCCTCGTCCCCTCATTTGTCATGCAAAATACCAAGTCCACATCGTACCTGTAGTAGGGAGTGTCTGCATGCCAAATAATTTTGGAATCTCAAGCAGTACTGCACTCCCTGTGCAGATTTGTCACGCGGAAGCCACATGGCTGCCGTTGCTTGTGTTGCTGTTCTTGCAAGAATACAGACGAGGGAGAGGTGGACCACTTGTGCGCTGTCATAGATCGCGCCGCAGTTCGACAAACTGTGGCCCCGCGTGTCGGCGAGGACGCACTTGAGGTTTTACAGTCGCATCTCCGGAATGTACGATCCCCCTACTGCGGCGGACGAGGAAGCGCGGCAGCAGCGGCGCAAGGCGTTCCTCAGCTTGGAGATGAGCAAAAAGCCCTCAAAGAATAAGAAACGGGTGAAAACGCGGAAACGCATGCAGGACGTGCTCGCCGCGTCGGCAAGGGAAGAAGGAAATCAAACTGTGCTGCTGGGAAGGGATAAGGAACTACAACCGGGAGGTGGAGATCCTCCTGGAGGTTCGTCCGCCTTCGCTAGTACAACTTCTAGCAAGAGAATCGGCCTCGCCGCGTCCTCCGAGCAAACCACGAAAGCAGCAAAGCGGGAGAGGGTGTTGGCAAGCGTCGAGAAGAAAAAGAATCAGCAAGACAACGTCGCAGACAAAAGTGTCAAGTTTTATAACGGTGCATCGGCCTCTCCGCCCGGAAAAGAAGATGACCTATCGACGTCAGAAGACAGCGCGGAGACAGCCACCTCTTCGGAAGAGGAAGATGAAGGTTCATTTGATGCCACCACCAGTAACATGGAGAGCAACTTAGGCACGAGTGCAACAGGAGCAGCATCTTCGTCCTACTTCTCTTTCTCTAGCACAAAAAAAGACCAACAAACAAAAAGTAGTAAAAACCCGCCCGCCGACTTTGGGGAGGCTCGCATCGAAAGATTTCTTCGAGATGTGTCGCTGTCTCCGGAAGATGCCGACCGAGCAAGTGGCGAGTACTCCGGGGGGATGAAGCGCAAGCTTTCCGTGGCGCTCACTCTGATCACCGACCCGCACGTCGTGTTTCTCGACGAGATGTCGGCCGGGGTGGACATAGTGGCTATGGCGTTCTCAACTGTTACATTCTCAAGTGTTACAACATGAATTTGTGATGCAAGAATGGGAAAAGTGAAAGGAGGAAGATAGCGCCTTTTGCAATACAAATTTTGCGCAGATTTTGGTGCTGTTTAGCCCTTCGCAAATTTGTCATGCGAAGCAGCTTGATCTTGTGGATGCTCACGGTATTTTTGCATGACAAATTCATGTAACAGTTGAGATTGTAACGTTTGAGAACGCTATAGTGGCCCAGCGCTCATTGTGGAACAAACTGATCAACCGGCCCCGGGGACAGTATCAACTGCAAATACGTCTGGGTCTGGAAGAGCGGAACTTGTCATGCGAATTGCGGATCGTACAAACATTTGTGTTGCATGTTGACTGGCAAGAACAGTTGCTCACTTCTGGCCGTGGCCATGCTGAGAGGGTATTAATTTCTCATGCAGAGTACGCATCTTCACGAAGGGACTTCCGAACCTGTGAAGATGCTAGGGCCCGCATTCCAGATTTGAGGGAGCTAGGAAAAACTGCATGACAAATCTTGCATTCTCCCAGACCCAGACATGTTTATTTCATTTGATAGACAGACCGTCATCACGACGACCCATTCGATGATGGAAGCCGACGCAACCTGCGACCGCGTGGGGATCCTGGTTGCGGGCCGGCTGCAGTGTTTGGGCGAGACACTGCACATCAAAAACCAGTACGGGAACGGGTACCACCTCGAACTGAATATCCACTTCGATGCGAAAGTATTTTAAAAGCCCCACAGTTGTTGTAGACGGTATCTCCCCGCAGGCATGACAGATGTGTTTCTCTAGTACCTTCTCTGCATGATGCTGAAATTGAATTTCGTTTTAATGCTGAGCAATAAATTTCTCATACAAGAAATACTGCAAGAGCAAGGACTCGCTCGGTTATAGAAGTACTTTTGCAATCCATACTCAATCTGAACCTGCAACCCACCGCCGAGGAGCGGGCCGTGGCGGAGTTTGTACGCAGCGGTCGGGTACTCTCCGCGAAGGACCAGGAAACGCTGCTCGCCTACCCTGCGTCGGCGATGCAGATGCCCTCGATGCGAGACTTGAGGCGGGCCGGCGGTGCGGGTGGCCATCAAAAGCACAGAGACCTCCAATCTAGTACACCTAGAACAAAATTCGCTGAGACGTCAACGTCATCTTCGCAAAAAAGAAGCTCGGAAAATTACAAACGGTCAGTTGCGGACGACGTGGCTCTTGGACCAAATATCCCTGAAAGAAGTACCCGGAGTCACATTCTTTCCTTGCTAGGCCGGGAAGACGAGGATAGAGAAGAACTCGGAATTGCAAAAGACGCGACGTCCAACGAAGAAAACAAAATAAATCTCGCTTTGATATTACCCGCCCCCAGGAGAGGATCAATATCAACTTCAAGTCCTGGACGACCTGGAGCTGTATCTACTTCGCACCTTCAGCCTCCAACGCTGACGCAGCAAATCCGTGCGTCCCTGAACAGAGACATCGAAGTGAAAAGTAGGTATCAAATGCAAAAATGTCTGGGTCTGGAAGCTTCTGATGCTAGTTTGTGAATGGTGGGCGCATTACAATATGCAGCCACGCATGACAAGTTTGGGAGCTCCTGTGTGTTTCGCTTTCCGCATGACAAGTTGCATATATGCATGACAGAGGACAGCCTTTTACTTTTTTCCTGCTCATGCATTACAGATTTAAGAGTCATGTGAGCCAAGCATGACAAACTTGCATTCTTCCAGACCCACACATATTTGCATTCCATAGTAGGCAGCAGGGAACTACCACAAGCCGCGAACAAGATGAATTTCTCCGGGTCTCGCGGCCCGAGGACGCGCAGGCTAGGAAGGAAGTTGCCGCGCTGGAAGCCATTGTACAAGGCGAACAAGGAGAGCTAAAGCATCTTCATCCGGAGAGACAGGAGATAAGCTCTGCGGGCGCAGCTGCTGCGACCATGATGTCGTTGTTCAGGGATTCAGCCTCTCAGGATGACGAGTATCATGTTGGTCAAGAACAAGCAATAAACCACAGTGAAGAAGTAGGTGGACGAGCAATACAGCAGCTCGTATCTGTAGATCATCTACCAGAAGACAATTACGGCGAGGGAAGCAGCAATAGCGAAAGCAAAAGGGGCCACGAGGACCTGCATCAGAGAACGCGAAAAGTAAACTCAGGGTCAGGGACCAAGAAAACCACCCGTCAGGTCGTTGGGCCAGAGGGTGAAAGATTCCAGTCAGAACTTCATCTAGATGAGGGCGAGGAAGAGGGAGAAGAAGATCGGAGTTTGGACCCGTTCTTCCCGGCGGACAAAAGTGAAATAGTGCCTCCTAGAAGTACTTTATCGTTTATTGACACATCCATTACCGGAGGTAGAGGAACTTCGAGCACACGAAATCTCGCTAGTAGACAACCACGACGAGGACCCAACAAAGACAGGCGGGAGCAAAAACATTTCAGCACCGTCCTCGGCCCCCACGGGTTTCCCATGCTCGTAGCGCACCCGGAACCCACCTCGCGCGAGGTGCTGCGTGCCCACTCAACGGTCGACATGTACGAGATGAGTGGTGCGCAACTCCCTTCCTCATTTGTCATGCAAAAGTGCCAGATCCCGTCTCAGGCTCAGCCTTTTGGCTACTTACGTTTCCATGGCAAGTTATCTGGAAGCCCAATCTGCACTTTGTTCCGGGACCGGGTCTAGGTCGTTTGTCATGGTGCAAGCACTGCATAATTTTTCAGATGCTTTCCGTTCTTGCCTGTACAGATGCACTACAAATGACGGGAAAGTGGGGGAGTTGTGCACTCTCATAACATGATGCCACGGGGTAGTAAAAGTAGTACTAGTAGCGAGGTGGAGGTGGGCGAGGGTAGAAGTCCTCGCCTTACGATGCTGAATTTTTCGCACCACCGCCAGCCGCGAGACCTACAACAAGTAAACGCGAGCGACGTCGGGGCAGGAAGTGGAAGAAATGAAATCGAAATGATAAGACGACCACAAGGAGACCACGAGAAGATGAACGATGAGGACACAGAAGTGGCTCTGTCCCTCCACGCATCTTCTTCTATTGCTTCTTCGGAGGACTCCGAATCTTCTGATGGATTGACCGCGGCGCACGACGTCTCTCGCCATCTGCTGTATTACAACGAGCCAACCAATTATCAAACGAAAAAAGCTTGTCACGATCACTTATATGAGTTCTTTATTTTGCAATAAAAAAGAGAAGGGTACGCTGTGGGCCCTAAAAAACAACCCGCTCCGCTCCTGTAGCCTCAAAAACCAGCGCGGCCGCCGGAGAGTACTCCCATGGTGATTGGCCTTGTAAATGTCACGCGATTTGCCTCTTGTGGCGACGCAGTCCGCTCGTGATTGTGTTTGCTTTGGCTAAGCGTTTCAAAACAACACAAAAACGAGCGAAGTGGCAGAGTCCCGTGCTGTTTGCCGCCGGATTTGGAAGCGCGGCAAACCGGCGCACATTTCCCGCGGAATTTGCCTCGCGGATTTTCTGGCCCAATTTGGTCCGGCTCGGAGGGCCTTCCCCCGATGCTACGGCCTCGATTTCGGGAGAGGATCCCCCAGAGGATTCCGGAGAGGATTCCAAAATCCTCTTCGGAATCCTCTGGCCCAAGTTGAACCGTCTTTCGCGCCCTTTCCCCGATGCTACGGCCTCGATTTCGGGAGAGGATTCCACAGAGGATTCCGCAGAGGATTCCAAAATCCTTCCCGGAATCCTCTGGCCCAGGTTGCGCCGTCTTTCGCGCCCTTTCCCCGATGCTACGGCCTCGATTTCGGGAGAGGATTCCCCAGAGGATTCCGCAGAGGATTCCAAAATCCTCTCCGGAATCCTCTGGCCCAAGTTGAACCGTCTTTCGCGCCCTTTCCCCGATGCTACGGCCTCGATTTCGGGAGAGGATTCCCCAGAGGATTCCGCAGAGGATTCCAAAATCCTCTCCGGAATCCTCTGGCCCAAGTTGAACCGTCTTTCGCGCCCTTTCCCCGATGCTACGGCCTCGATTTCGGGAGAGGATTCCACAGAGGATTCCGCAGAGGATTCCAAAATCCTCTCCGGAATCCCCTGGCCCAGGTTGAGCCGTCTTCCGCGCCCTTTCCCCGATGCTATGGCCTCGATTTCGGGAGGGGATTCCCCAGAGGATTCCGGAGAGGATTCCAAAATCCTCTCCGGAATCCTCTGGCCCAAGTTGAACCGTCTCGCGCCCTTTCCCCGGTGCTACGGCCTCGATTTCGGGAGAGGATTCCACAGAGGATTCCGCAGAGGATTCCAAAATCCTCTCCGGAATCCTCTGGCCCAGGTTGCGCCGTCTTTCGCGCCCTTTCCCCGATGCTAAGGCCTCGACTTCGGGAGAGGATTCCGCCAAGGATTCCGGAGGGGATTCCAAAATCCTCTCCGGAATCCTCTGGCCCGCGTTGAGCCGTCTTTCGCGCCCTTTGTTTCCCCGATGCTACGGCCTCGATTTCGGGAGAGGATTCCACAGAGGATTCCGCAGAGGCTTCCAAAATCCTCTCCGGAATCCTCTGACCGGATTCGCGCCGTCCTTCGCGGTCTTTCCCCGGCGGTACAGCGTCGATTTCGGGAGGGGATTCCGGAGAGGATTCCTCCGGAGACTCCAAAATCCTCTCCGGAATCCCCTGGCCCAATTTGTGTCGTCTTTCGTGCCCTTTCCCCCGTGGTACGCACTACCTCAGCCGGGCGGATTTCCCCGGGAACAGGGCGGGCCCCCCGATGCGAGGGCGGATCCCCCGGGGAGCGGGCGGACCCCCGGAGAACGGGCGGACCCCCCGGAGAGCGGGCGGACCCCCCGGGGAACGGGTGGATCCCCGGGGGTGAGGGCGGATCCCCCGGGCGAAGGCGGATCCCCGGGGCGAAGGCGGATCCCCGCAAAGAGGGCGGATCCCCCGGGTGAGGGCGGACCCCCGGGGAACGGGCGGATCCCCCGGGGGACGGGCGGATCCCCCGGGCGAGGGTGGATCCCCCGGGCGAAGGCGGATCCCCGGGGCAAGGGCGGATCCCCGGGATGAGGGTGGATCCCCCGGGTGAGGGCGGATCCCCGGGGAACGGGCGGCACCCCCGGGGGACGGGCGGATCCCCCGGGCGAGGGAGGATCCCCCGGGCGAAGGCGGATCCCCGGGGCGAAGGCGGGTCCCCGGGATGAGGGTGGATCCCCCGGGTGAGGGCGGATCCCCCGGGTGAGGGCGGATCCCCCGGGGAGCGGGCAATCTGTTTCACGGGCGATATACGTGATTCCCGGTATTTAATTTCCCGGAAAATCACAAGCGTCCTTCGTGCTGCCGTCGTGTTTCGCGTTTTAGGTCTCAGAGCGTGCCGGTCTCTAAAAAATTGTCAGCCACGCGTAAAAATGCCTGACGGAAGTCAATTTATACGGGGCGAGTGCCTTAATATGTGTTCGTGCAATGCAAGAAAACTCTGGAAAATTTCTCATGCAAAGCTATGCAAAATAGATAGAGATGAGAAGTTATTGCGCCGAACTTTTTTCTTTCCATACCAACGAGCCAGGCAACGTCGGCCGGACGGTTCAACATGAACATATCGGCGAGAGCACAACCACCCCGCGACCGCCTGCGGCTTTTAACAGAACGCCAGGTGATGTGCCAGTGGCCGTAGACGAAGTAGGTGGGTCTGCACAGAGACGACGACGATCCGCACCGGCGAACGATGACATGGCCGCTTCTGCTGAATCTGTAACAACGTCTACTTCCGTGAAGAACAATAACAAAACAGTGGCGCATCATCAAATGATGCAGAGCAGCATCTTGAAAGATATCGAAAAACACGAAATAAATATAAATCAGGACGAGGAACAAAAAGACGAGACGTTCATAGGCCGAAGATCGTCAACAGGTCGGTCCCTGCTATCTAGGCTCCAGATCACGGGTGACCGCATAGAAGAAGAAGGCGTAACACCACCATTCCTCGAGCAAGCGAGCGCAGGCACACGGACCACAGGGCGGGAGCAAGTTGTACGATCTTCTGGTCAACAAGTAGGACATGGCGAAACTACACGAGAGGACGTGACGATGGAGAATGTGCAGCAAAAGATCATCCAGAGCCTGATCACAGCGCAAGTGATCCCGAACGACGAAGATACTCCCTGAAAATTTTTTGCCATCCAGATCCAATTGGTCATGCCAAACATGTAGCAGGTTCTGTTTTCGTCATGCAAAAAGTGGATGGCAATGCATGGGATCATGGTTGAAATAAATTTTCGGGGAATACAGGACCTGCAGGTCCTCGAAGCCATCCCGTTTGGCGTCCACAAGATGCGGCTTGTGCTGGGATTCTCCAAACCGAACGATCGGGACAATTCCGAGGCCTCTCTACTGCGCGAGGACTACAGTAGGATAACCTCTGCGAGCATGGCCATTGGAGGGTCCACTATTGTTGCGGGAGTCCCCGCCGGCCTGCCGGAAAGAAGTACAACTACTACTAGTGGCACGACCGGTGATGTAGCTGTTGAGAGTGGCAGAAATTATAACACCGTACGCGACCGCGAGCAGCGGTCAAGTACTTTTCTCGCCGCGCCGGAAAGTGGATCTCTGTCCTCTGTGGGCGGAAGTAAAAGAAGTCCTCTTCCAAGTGGAGCGGGAGGTCGCTCGGGAAGTAGTGAGGAGCAAAAAGGCGGCACTAGTGCAGCGCCCCACCAGGATGAATTCCTTGAGTCCGAACAAGTTGTAATACCTCCGCGTGGAGGCCCCTCCTCCTCGGGCTCGGGCACCACGACCCGTGGAATATGACAGTGCACAACTCCCCCTCCCCCTCATTTGTATAGCATGAACGGCAATACAAGGGTCAGCAAGAATGCCGGTTTGCATGACAAATTTGCACTGGAGTGTAGTGCTGTTTGGGCTTCCGGAGCTTGTCATGCAAACAGTGCCAAGTAGGAGCACAGTTTCTTTGGATTTGGTATTTTGCATGACAAATGAGGGGGAGGGGGAGTTGTGCACTCTCATATGGCAGCAGCCGGAGGGACAAGAACAAGGTTAAGCTCGCGAGCTTATATGAGAGTGCACAACTACTCCCCCTCGTTCTCAACATTTCTCATGCAGAATACCAAATCCACGCTCTCCCTCTTGTCACTATTATGCATGACAAGTTCGGGCAGCCCAAATAGCACTACACTCCAGTGCAAACTTGTCATGCAAAACCGGCATTCTTGCTGATGCTTGTATTGCCGTTCATGCTATACTTACAAGTGAGGGGGAGGTGCAGTTGTGCACTCTCATAGCTTATTCCGGTGGTGTATTGAGGACCCGCTACAGATCATTGAAGACTATGCCCTCGGCGAGCCCACCATGGAGCAAGTGTTTCTGAAATTTGCGAAGGAACAAGAGATCCTAGAGCAGCGCGAGCAGAAAAATCTGGAGCAGCAACAAGCTGTATCAAATGTAAAAATGTCTGGGTCTGGAAGAATGCAACTTGTCATGCTAAATTTGGATTTCAAAAAAATCTGTATTGCATGAGCAGCAAAGGGAGTGTAATTTTTGATAAGCGGAGGGGGCATTTGTCATGCGGAATAGGCATCGCGAAGCCTGCGCAGAATCTGTGATGCTAGGGCATGCATCACAGACATCATGGCCCAGGCAAAACATGCATGACAAGTCTCAGAATCTTCCAGACCCAGACATTTTTACATTTGATAAGCTGCAGGGAAGAGCAAAACTAAAGCCGGGGAAGAGGGGAAGGACGCTCGAGGATAATGATGTACTTCAGCAGCACTATCATCTGTGCCGGCGGACCCGGACGACAATAAAGTGATATTACAAAAAATAAAAAATCATACGTAGTGAGGTTATATTGTTAACGTAAGCAAGAACAACAGCTTCCTTTCTTGTTAGAACTGGGTCCCACAAGAACCTACTAATTGTGAAATATTCTACGCAAGATGAACCGCACACAGGTCATTACTCGCAAATTACTCGCAGAGGTATATAATCTTCGCAGGATAAAAATTATACCCATCTTTTTAGCTACTAGCTACTTCAACACGTCGTGTGTTTTTTTCAATAAATAGGATCTCCCTAAAAAAATGAAGTTATGGCGTGCTTGACACAGGTTTACTACAACCTCCTCGCAACTCGCACTTGCACCGCAGCTGGAGGAGGAAATGTATTCTCCACCTAAACCTGCTATGAACAACGGCTCGTGCTTGTAGTTGTGTGAACTAGGTACTAGATGAACCTCCATTGAGTTCGTCGGGACTCGCTGCTGGTGTTGCTTCTACCTCTATTTGCTGTTCCGGACTCACTTGCTCGCCTGCTTCAAAAACTTGCTAAGAGGCTTGGGTCTCGCGCATGATTTGTTTGTATACCGGAAAACCCGGTTGTGTTTGTATAGTGCTTCAAGCATGTTTGAGTATTTCTAGCAACTCTGGAGTTTATTAAAAGTCGCACCTTGTTTCGGTCGTACACAAGAAAATCGTGGGTGTCACACCTCGGACCCTGCCCTTTCTTTTGTCGCAGAAGAAAGTGATTCCATGAAAACAGAACTCGGTAGAAGTGCTAGGTCGAAACAAAAAAGATGAATTCGGAGTCGTTCAGAGTATTGTAGGCAGTCATTATCATAATTCGTTAGCATTCCATCGAGGTCGGTTCGTGATAGAGGTATCCGCTGTAGAAGACAAGCACCTCGGTGATATAATTTCGTCCTACCATCACGTACAAAGCGAAACGTAGCGAAAACTAGAACTACTGGTTGTCCTATACGTCCATCCGCGCCACGGTTTTATACAAGTTTTTGCCGCATGAAGCGCAACGTAATTTCTTCGGTTCTTTGTGCATCTTTCGTACCATATTAAAGAACGTCGGCTTCGTGCGAAAAATTTCAATGTCAAGGAGAGGGCCATCTTCTCCTTCGTGGGTTTCTGTCTAAGTGTGAAAATTATATTTTTTCGACGTCAACATCAAAGTCAAATGAAATCTATTTTATTTCCCAGCAAATATTAACGATGAAACAAACTGTCCAGGATCTCACTCTCACCCTTTGCCGCTGGGTAGCCCACGACGTCCCGTAGTGGGTGCCTTTGACTCCGGAATAAAAATCTTGAAACAAATCTAAAAACCTCTACTAGTGTCAGTTGTACTCTGACCAAAAAAATATTTAAATAACTACAAGAAACTACTAGTACTAGTTTCTTTCCAAATCGAAGAAGGAAAGAAAGGAAGACCATCATGACGATCCTGTCCTGGATCGGCGCCGGGTGTGGCGGTGGTGCCTATCCTGTGCAAAAGTATCGTACTCGTATTGCAGTCCTGCATTACAAATTTTTTTCTCAAGGTGAATCTGCATTACAAATTTTCTTTCTCATGCTGAGGAAATTTGTCATGCATTAATACGAGTACGATACTTTTGCAGTTCATAGTGCCGCCCTGTTCGCGTTGATTGTCTACGTCACGGGCTATATCATGGAGGAGCTCCTCATTTTTGCCGTCATTCCCAAGGGGGTTTTCGACGCGAATGCGAACCTTGCCGGCAAGTTCGTCAGCGTAGCCGGTGACGCGGTGAGCATCAGTGCGGGGTTCGCCATGCCTGCTTTCGATTCCTACGACGATTTGGCAGATTTGCCTGGAAACACCGAGGCTGAGAAGGACGCCTACACCTCTTGCGGGCACATCGGACGCTTCGTTGTGGCTCAGTGTCTGATGGTTGCCGCATTTGCGGTTGCGACCCTGCTGTGTGTGGTATCAAAAGGAAAAATCCCCCCTCCCCATATCAAAGCGGAAGTCTGTGATGCAGATTTGTGGCCACAAATCAGCTTTGTGATGCTAGAAGGCAAAAGATGCAGACTGTAGTGCTGTCTAGCGTGGGAAAGCCTTGCAGCTCCAGGATGACAGGAGGCAACTGGAAGTGGGAAACAGCATGACAGATTACCTGCAATTTAGGCCGCAGCTTCGTCTCTTGGCCTTCTAGCAATACAAGTCGACTGGTGTACTCAAATACAGCATCACAAATTCGCGCATCTTCCGTTTCCGATATGAGGCGCGGGCTTTTTTCGCTTTGATATGTGGTAACCGCGCGGGACGGGAACCCGGGAAAGATGGCTGGCATGGCCATTGCCGGCAGTGGCGCGTTGCTGTTCCTGTTTGCCGTCGTGACCTTTTTTCTGTTTCCGTTTAGCTGCGTATGACAGTGGTGCACAACTCCCCCTCTACTCCCTGATTCGGAGGGCATATGTAACCGGCTGCCACACAAGTGCTGGCAAAAATGCAGCTTCTGCATGACAAATTCGCAACCGGGAGTCTAGGGCTGTTTCAGCTTCCGGAATCTGCCATGCAAGGAGTGCTTAAGGGAAAGGGATGGATTTGGTATTTTGCATGACAAATGAGGGGGAGGGGGAGTTGTGCACTGTCATAATGCGTGGAGGCGATCGCGAAGGCTGTGGATGACGCGGCGACGGATATGGCGTTCTCAAACGTATTTACATTCTCAACTGTTACGATAGATTTGTAATGCAAGAATAGCACTGATGAGAGCAGAGGGACAGGGAGAACCTAAACCTTGCGCGTCTTGCGTTACAGATTTGGTGCGGATTCTAGTGCTATTGATTTAGCGCATCAAAAGTTTGCCATGCTAAAAGTAGCTTGATCGTGGCAATGTTCTTGATAGTGATTTTGCATGACAAATCATGCAAAAACAGTTGAGAATCATGTAAAAACGCTTGAAAACCCCATAAGAACGGGCTCGTATAAAATCGAGGACAGCTGGTACATGGCTGGCGGCTTCTACATTTACGTGTTCCAGAGCTTCCTGGTGGCGGTATCCTGTGTAAAAACGTCCCCAAACCACAGTTGTCATGCAACTCTGCGTGGTTGAAATATTTCTCATGCGAAGCCCCTTGAGAAGCATTTTCTAATGCGGTTTGGAAATCTGTAATGCGCCGATCAGCATGAGAAACTAGATCTGTAATGCTGCTTACCTAGCTCAAACAGAACTACACTACGCGTCCAAATTTGTCATGCGAATAAACAGCCGAAGCTTATGGATTTGTCTAGCGGATTTCCCATCTTGACTCTGGTGTGGGGACATTTTTACTCACGATAGGCGGGCGCTGCAGGCCTGGTGGGGGCTGACGCCATGATGGCGCCGGACGGACGTGGCTATGACAGCGCACAACTCCCCCTCCCCCTCATTTGTACTATTGCATGGACAGCAATATAGACACCCGCACCTACGGAGCCTGTCGTGCATGACAGGTTCTTCATGCGCGTAATGTAGTACTGTTTGGGAAGATTCCGGATTCTGTCATGCGAACACTGCCGCAGGGCAGCGCTTGGATTTGGTATTTTGCATGACAAATGAGGGTGTTCCGGGCTGTGCTTTGTGCACCCCTCGGACCCCACACCCCCCCGGGCTCGGTAGCGCAGTCTGTTAAGCATGACAAATGAGGGGGAGGGGGAGTTGTGCACTCCCATAGTGGCCCGCCGGTTTCCAAAAACGCCGCCGCCGCGGGACCTCCTGTCATTGACATGACCGTGATGCGCAAAGAAGGGGAAGCTGCGGCTCCGGCCGCGGCTCCGGCGGTGGTAAAAAATTCTCGTTTTTCACTTGTTCTTGTTGTAATAAATCTACGACTTCATATATAAGCTAATTTTTGTTTTGTTGCTTTCTAAATAATATAACTCCCGGTCCAGCACGAGGGAAGTAGAAAAACAGTACTTTTAGCTGAGCGTGCTGCGAACTTGTGCTTGTCACGCATGTCTTCTGCGAGTGGATGCATCATCGAAGAGCGGCTTTTTGGTGTCCCGACGAGGAGGGGCAAAGCCAGCAAAATCTTTCCGCGCCGGGCGCCTTGGTCTGTGCCCGAGTTTTGGGCCCAGTGGCTGCACTAATGTGCCCCACCTAGGAGCACCATCGCGCCACACCGGGAACAGAGCCAGCTCGCGCGCGATGGACAGGGAGGGCATCCATTGCACTCCCTTCCCCCTGAGTTGTCCTCGGGTGCCAAGAGTTTTGCTCTTGCGACAGGTGAGCACAAATCTGTGCATTTTGGAACACAAGGCCTCGGGACTTGGTCTACAGATTTTGCCTCTGCGAATTTAGAAAAGTGGCCCTCGCGAATTTCGCGCGAATTTAGAAAAGTGGCCCTCGCGAATTTCGAAAGACCGACCTGAAATTGCGTTTTTTTCTAAATTCGCGCGAAATTCGCAAGGGTCACTCTTCTAAATTCGCAGAGGCAGCTTTTGCAAATTCGCACGGGTCACCTTTGTGAATTCGCAAATCGAGAATACCGCCCTGATTGGTGGGCATGCCTTTAAACGCTTAGCCCGATGGTATTCTGGTGGTCCAACTTTAGCAAAATTCAAAAGTTACATCTGAAGCCGCGTGGTATGATGAGAAAGTGGCTGCGATTGTGCGCGACGGCGTTAAAAGTTTCGCATCTGGCGCAAAAAGCTGCTGCTCATGGTTGACGCCGTGGCAGTTTCCAAGCCGTCGCCTGTCGCATCGAAAGCGAAGAGCCCCGCTCGATGGTGAGGCACGGGAAACGCAGCAAATTTCCTTGCGTCCCTCGGAAGGGCATGGGACCGACAACAGGGTGGCCACGTGATTGGCCACCAGACGTTGGCTTTTGGGTTTGCGCTGAAATTCGCTTGAAATTCGCGCCTGCTCTTTCTAATGGGTGTCCAAGCTCTAACTTGTGCTTGTGACGCACGTCTTCTGCGAGTTGATGCATCATCGAAGAGCGGCCGCGGTTGTACTTCTACTTCCAAGGTGATATTAAGTAAATAACATCATGACAATGAATCTGCTACGATATTATAACAGGCTGCTGGGTCGGATGAAAATGCTGTTCCCGAGTCCTCAAACGGTGAGCAAGCTGCGGCGCCGGCTGCTCAAGCGGTCGCCGGGGACGAGGACGCTGACAACGTGGTGTAAATATGCTGTGCAAAAGTATCGTGCTCGTGGTAATTGCAATCATGCATTACAAATCTTTTTTTAAGGTAAATCAGCATTTGCAAATTTTATTCCTCATCCTGAGGAAATTTGTATATGCATTTGTACGAGTGCGATGCTTTTGCATTGCATAGTAAATCAAGGCCTACAACTTGCCCAAGTGCTGCGCAGCTGATGGAATATAATGCTGCACTATGTTCATTATGCGGTGAAAGAATCTAGATGTAGTCTCCTGTCAGTCAGACGCAGCTTGAAGAAGATTTATTCTCTGCATCGGCCAGCCGAACCTACAACTAAATCAGCTGTACCTTGCTGCGCCGCGGACGCGGCATGGCATTCGCATTGCCTCCCTTCCTTCTTTTGCTGCCAGCACCGGCGCCTTTGGCTTTCATTAAACTAGTTTTGGAGCAGATCATCGCTTGGCCTCTTGACGACCAAACACGGAACAAAATCCGAAAAACTTTTTACCCAATCTTGTATTACGTCGTTTTCATTTTATTCTATTTTAGGGGTTTCATTGTTCACTTTATTTTACATTCACTATACTTTGAGATATAAGAAGTAGTCAAGAAGAAGTAAGTACCGTCTTCACGTTATATATTACTCGCGTCAAACTATCAAGTAGTACTTACACCAATTTTGTAGTCGCATTCACTCCGTTCTTGTTTCCTATGTAGTTTTTTCAAAAGACCACTACGCAGCGGGGAGTAGAGTGTCAATTTTCAAAGTATGAGTTGTACTAGTGTCGCCCGAAAAGGAAACGTACAAGGTGGAGCAGGATGCGTATAAATATGTAGGAATAATATCTCCGCCTCCTGCTACTTAGCTAGTATCATTCGTTTCTTTTCCGCGGAATTTTATAAATGTATCTGTAGAATAGTATTAGATGACAGTATTAAAGCTTCACTCTGGTTGTGCATGTCTATCCACATTCTTGGCTGTGGATACGACTCGAGAAGTTCTTCACTGTTGACTTCGTGGTTTTTTGATTTACGTCGGTGTTGATGTGCTGGTTTCACCAGAAATTGACTCGGTTCTACTCTTGCTTGACGGAACTATGACGTTAATATTCGGTGGAGTGAATCTGTATCTGACAACGATCAGGCGATAGAACTCGTCCCAGCCACGAACTACATAGTACACAGTTCTTTATGTCGGTGAAATAACAGATGCACCACCTGGCCCTTTACTCGTTCTTAGTATCTTCGTACACGACAAGGGGAAACAAAAAAAACAAGAAAGAAGCTGCTGCTCTTCTGTCCTCGTCCCGTTAAAAATAACGTCCGCCAATACAACAATGACGAGGAGGACCTAAATTAATATGCCGTCCAATAGGAGCATGCATGCTGGTACTTAGATCGCTTTTTTCAAAAAGCACAAAAATTGTTATAATGTATTCTCGTCGTCGACGTACTAGCACTGATGCTGGTGATGGACACGAAAAAATCAATGTTTCCAGGAACATTCTTGTCAACATCGCGTTCTTCGGAGCGACAAGGACAACAATTCAACCCTACGATTAAAGTAAAAAGGAGAACTACCTGAACCCCCACTACTTAAAACTTCCCAGTAGTTCAACATCTTGGTCAACATCATCCCCTCAAGCGTTTATTTTTGTGCAACGACCTCTGTGCCGTTTTCTTCAGGACATTAACTCAGAAACTTAATTTCATTTCGATCCTGACACCCCCATACAGCAGTATCGGTGCAGAACCAGAAGAGCGCGCCGCGGGAGTCTTCACTTTTCTCGGATTTCATCCTAAACGTCTACTCGGATCAGCTGGTGAGTTGGATTTTTTTTGTCGGAGGTGGAGCGTTGCTCGCTCATACTCAGAAATTTCAAATTGTAATTTGAATTTATCATGTTAAGTGCGTTTATAGGTACCTACATGTAAAATTAAGAAGTATCGACTAGGTCCTATTTCTATGAACCAAAAAAATTGAACATATCAGGTGTTGGCGTCTTCTCCCCGAGAGCTGCCTACCGCGCCGTATAATTATCCGAAACATTCAAAGGAGATAAATATCCATTGCATTTATGCCTGGTTCTGGAAGATTGCAAACCTGTGCTGCACGGCATTTCGGATGAAAGTGAAACAATGTTTTTATAAAAAGCTGTTATGCATGAAGAGGATGAACGCCAGGTGCGACAAGCTTTGGCAGGAAAAAATGCGATTTCTTTATGGTAGTTGCGCATTGTGTTTGTGCTGTCCCTTTCAAAAGTTTATCCTGTCTCAGAACTAGGGATTGTTTTTCAACACGCAGATAGCAGTAGCATCACAACTTTTCAGACCCGGACATAGTTGCTATCGAATGTAAAAATGTCTGGGTCTCGAAGATTCTGCGACTTGTCATGCAGGTTTTCCATGAGCCATGAAATGATGTCTGTGATGCATGCCCTAGCATCACAGATTTTTTGAGGGCATCTTGATGCCTAGTGAGCATGACAAATGTCCTCTCTGCGTAGCAAAAATTGCATTCTCTTTGCTGCTCATGCAATAAATTCAAATGCAGCATCACAAGTTGCAACCTTCCAGAGGACCCAGACACTTTTGCATTTGATAGTTGCATTTGATAAGAGAACGATGCGGATTTTCAAAACCCTCGCGTGTTCCTCCCTCTTGGGAACTTCGATCCTGCTATCCGAGTACGCCACTGCTCCCCGTCCCCCTCATTTGATGTCATGCAAAAGCGCAATCCTGCTGCACGTTGTCAGTAATGATGATCAGTATCACTGTCCTTTAGTAAAAACTATTTTGCATGACAAGTTTCAGAACCAGCACCAGGAGCAGCACTAGGAACAGCACTGAGCTCCATCGAAGTACTCACTCATTTGTCATACAGAGCATACACTTTTGCCATCCTGTCTGTTTTTATGCTAGTTCTTGATTCCAAATGAGGGGGAGCAGGAAGAGTTGTGCCCTCTTATACCTGCCGGCTGCGGGCACGAGCATGACTTCTGGCTTGAACGTAGGACAATTTTGCGGCATGATGGGGGTCATGATGACCAACCCGGCCGCCCCTGCCTTATGGGATTCTCAAACGTTAACATTGATATGATTTAGCATGCGAAGTGACAAGAAGGATCACCTTCACCCTCCAGCGCCCCACGACGACCAAGTAGATGCTTCGCATGACAAGATATTCTCGAGCCGCTTGGAAATAGCGCGGAAACTAAATCTGCGCCAAATTTGTAATGCAAGCTGCGCGAGCTCGCCCTTTTGCTTGTTTTCTTTTTCACTTTCGCTATTCTTGCCTCACAAAATCAGCGCCCGAGGAGTGTGATGATCAGACGGCTTTGGTGTCGTGCCTGACTCCGTGACAAGGAGGCCAACTTAGTACCACGTGGCGGGAAGCAGGTGCCCTATGGGTCGCTGCCTTTGTGGTTTCAGTATCACAAAAAAATCATGCAAAACAGCAATCAATGTACTAGCGGTTGAGAGCCGTTCCATATGCCTGTGAAAATGCTTGCAAAGGGATTTATACGGTATGCCAGGACAATGCGCTCACGACCGACATGAGCGCGGTGCCGGAGTTTGAATTTTATTGAAAAGAAAAACTCCCCCTGCCCATATTGAAAGTGTAGGTTTCCGAAAATTTGTGTATGCTGATTTTAGGTCATGGTCACAGATCACATTTGTCTTGAAAGAAGACAAGGGCAGAAGCTTTCGCCCCGTTACGGGAGCGATTTCGCATGCTGTTGGGCGTCCTGCTAGAGGGCAGCCGTTTGTAGTAATGCTGAACAAAACTAGACCCAGACGCCCCTACCTAGGGCTGGGGATCTGGCCGCAATGCCTTTCTGCAATCCAACGCGCATTTGTGTACACAAATCCAGCATTAGAAATTCTGTTTTGATATGGGGAGGGGGGATTTTTCCTTTCGATAACTTTATGTCCGTGGTTTGCAAAGCGGGTTGTTACCCTGAGGCGAAAATGTTCATCACCTGTTATCGCAACGCCAACCCCAACGACGCCAACCAGCCGTCAGACGCGGAGATGGACGCCGCGTACACGCAACAATGCGGGGCCGCGCCTCCGACGCATTCCAGCCTTCTCTCTTCCTCCGCCGCGGCCACGGGTCCCTCCAAGACGACGCTGCTCCTGTCTGTCGTGGCTGCAGCGGCCGGGTTGTTCCTGGCTACTTATCAGACGGATCTCAAACTCATTTTTATATGGTTTGCTGTTGTCATGCAAATAAATCGTCCTGCACGAAGATCATCAAGCTAGTACCTCGCATGACAAATTTGTAAAGCGCTAGTACAACGCATGGAGAAAAGCAAAAGCAATTTTTTTTGTATATTTTTATGCAAGATGCGCGAGGGCAGACTTTTGTTCTTTCCCCCTTGCCCTTCACTTTTTCTCTACTTCTTGCATCAGCATCTTCGCAAACTCACATAAGAGCTATCCATGTATTAACGTTTGAGAACTCCATAGTTTGGCTTTGCAGTAAGCTGCAGGAGAGCCGATGGCTTTAGTGCAGTGACCTTGCCCTCCAAGTAGACATTCTATTCGAGTGTCTAGAAGTCGAGCAAGAGGCTCTTCTATCCGAAAAAATTTGAAATTGGAATTATTTGAACGCGAATATTGTATTTTAGTAGTTTTAATACTTCACAGTTTGCCAATAACATTTACACATTTACACAATTTACTACCTGTCTTCCTCATTTCTGCTTTTCTGGTTTTTCGTATAATTTCTTTCGCCATGATTTGAAGCTGAACAGTACCACCCACCAATCGTGTAAGTACAACTAAAGTAGTATCATCTTCAACATTCAAAAACGTAAAGTAGTGTACTCAAATTTTTGTATCCGTTCTTGCGTATTATAGTCTATATGCAGCATCTGGAGGACGTCAAGTGGCGCTTGTGGCGCAGGATGTCGGACGCAGGAGGTCGCCGCGACTGGCGCAACTACAACAAGCTCACTTCGTCTACTCTCATATCGACGACGTCCATTTTAAACTAGGAAAACCTATTTCACTGTAAAATAAAACTTGCGATGCGTGGGATGCAGCACAAAAGTAGACGTGTTTGTCGTGCCGCTAGTTGTACACTACATGCAACAAGAGAGGGCATAATTTTCAGCCCGCCTGTGATTTTCCCTTCATATCAGGCACGCATGGCGGGTTTTCGTGCTGAAAATAAATACACTTGCGACGCACGGCACACTTACAGTGATTACAGTGAAGCACTTTTTCTACTTCCGATGCGTTTATGATGTCCGATTTTTTCATCCGTAGTTCTAGTATCACCTACAACATTAGTTTATTTCAGTATCAGCCTGAGTCATGTTTTGTAGAAAGCCAACGAAGTGTTTCTTTGACGCGGTGCATCCTTCTAATCTGTGCTTTCTGAAAATAAAGTAATAAAACGCTCTTCGTGAAAAAAGTAGAATAAAAAACGTACAAAAAAACTCACTGCGCGCGGCGTCTTCATCTACACGATGGATGCACCAGCTGCGCTTTGATTTTTATGCGGAAACTGAAGCACACGGGCAGTGTCATTTTTCCCGTGCAGGAGAAGGAGCTGGACGTGCAGGAGCTCCTGGACAAGGACGACGTGCGACGCACGGGAGTAGAAAAATAAAGACTGTGACGAATAAAGCCAATATCGATAAAATGAAATAAAATCGATATCGGTCCCAAAGTAGATGTCGAACGAGCTTCCTCGGTAGTTTCATAATATTCGTGCGCCACGATTTCCGTCTATAGACGATGACAACAAGCTTTTTTCCACAGCCTCGGTTTGCTAGAGCGTCTCGTGCACCACGGTTGCAACATAAACTTCCTCGGTTTCGTGCACCATTGCGCAATTTTTAAATCCTCGTGCGTCAGCATACAAGAATATATAAATTCTTGCGCTTTCCTATTAATATCCTGTGCTAACGTAGTACAATAATCGTCTTCGTGCAGCAAGAAAACAAGGAACACGACGGGGGCGCTGCAGAGGCCGCATAGTTGGCAGTGCATTTGCGTGGTGTCCTCTTGTTACATTGAAACGCACGTTGCAATCAATTTCGAAAAAAAAAAAACAGTGCCACGAACAACAATTAGAATTACTCAGCGTAGTACAATTTCTACCCAAGTAGGTTGTACGTAGAGGAGGTTCTTTGCTAGTAGTTGCACAACAAAAATCTTCAAAACTTGTAAACTCACTCTTCCAAAAAATCTCCCCACAAGCAACGAAGTGTTGGCTGCAGCCTCAGAGTTGTGTAGATTGTGTTGCAGTAAAGGAAAGAACGTCAAAATGGTGAAGAAGACCGGTTCTTTGGTGTTGTCGGCCGTGCTTCTGCCGGGCCTGGTGGCTGAGGTAACAAGCGCACTAACGAGTTTTCTTTGTTTAATTATACACGCAAATAAAAGCCTCTCTAAGTCTAGTATCTCCCACAAATATTACGGTCTTTGCATTTCTAAATATATTTTTTTTCGCAGTTCTGCGCGCCCAGGAGATGTGCGCCTCGTTTTTGTTTTTGCCCGGTGTGGAAGGATGTGCCCGCCCATTTTTTTGGTGATGGTGGTTGTGGAACAAGTAAAACAATCTTCACTACTTAGAAATGGAGCGCGAGCTCGCTTGCTCAGCCGATAAAAACTGCGTCTTCCGCTCACTCGCTCCCCGGCCTCAAATTTCAAAACTTCAACAGTTTTGAGCTCGTCGCCTCGAAATAGTTTTGACAGCAAAAGTTGTACAGAAGTAATCACTCAGTATTGCCTTTGTCGACTGCGGCGCCCTGTGCAGCTTCCATCAATAACCTGCTCCTGCGGCGTTCATCATGATAGTTTTGAGTTTTCGCAATAACAAGAAAACCTGATTGATATATAAAAAGGAGAAGATGCATATCAGTAAGAAGCCGGGAAGTATAATACAACGTTAGTTGAAATATAAAAAATAGTAGAATTGTTGCTGTACCCGAATTGATATTCTCCAGGTTAATGCGACCTCCACAGCGTCCATCGTGGCCACCGCTCAGGCCGCGGCCTACCAGTCTGCTGGCATGACCTCCGGCGTCAGTTGCGACTCGCTGACCGGCGTGCAGAAGTGCAGTTGCTTCGCGAACAAGTTTATGCTGTGTAAAAGTATCGCACTCGTAGTCTCGTACTAATGCTAATCGCAGTCGCGCATGACATCAAATCTATAATTTTTCTATCCTGATTTAGCACTACAACAAATTGCAATTCCGCTCTTGAGATCATGTTTTGTAATGCAATTTAATTGAATAATATACTACGTGCGATATTTTTGCAATGCATATCGTTCAACGAGGTGTGCCAAGCGACTAGCGGCGGCTACCAGGCGGCTTCGACGGCGTGGGCTGCCCAGAAGGGGTCCACCGGCACGTGCTACCTGCACAACGACTCGAATTACTGCGCGATGGCGATGATATCAAATGTAAAAATGTCTGGGTCTGGAAAGATGCAACTTATGATGCGCATGTCACATCACACAAAAATCTGTCATGCATGTAAGCCAAAAGGTGCACATGTCCGGCCACCGAAAAAAGGGCTTTGTCATGCGGATGACGCATTCGGAGACCTTCTCAAAACCTGTCATACTACGGCGTGCATGGTAGACCTTCTCGGTCATGCCAAAGCTGCATCACAAACCTCTGCATTTTTCCAGACCCAGACATTTTTGCATTTCATAGATGTACCAGATCTACCACGTTTGCCAAGAATTCTCGCACGGCGTGTCGTTCTATGACAATGCACAACTCCCCCTCCCCCTGATTTGTCATGTAAAATACCAAGTCCGCCCTTTTCTCTTTGGCACATCTTGCATGACAGATTTCGGAAGCCGAAACAGCACTCAACTCGGTCGCGAGTTTGTCATGTTGCAAAAGCTGCATTTATGCCAGCACTTGTGTTGCCGTTTATGCCATTCAAATGAAGGAGAGGGGGAGTTGTGCACTCTCATACGTTCAGCTCCATCGCGTTGGCCGAGGTGACCAAGGCCCAGACGGACCTGCAGTGCCTGAAGACCTTATCGTGAGAAAAAATCCCCCCTCCCCATTATACCAAAAAGAAATACTTCTGAAAATTTGTGATGCTGATTCGTGCACCACACAAATCGTCTCTGTATTGCGAGAAGGCCAATCCAGCGACTCCGCCGCATTATGCAGGCGGTTTGTGATGCAGCTATGGGGCCTACAGAGTACAAATCTGCCATGCTACCCGCCTACGTCAAAGCCCTGCTCTACTTAGGCTTGGTAATATGGGCTACCTGTTGCAGTCCTCTACTGCAAGACAGACCTGATCTGTGTACACATCAAGTCCAGCGTCAGAAACTTTCTTTTGATATAATGGGGACGAGGGGTGATTTTTCCTTTTGATAGACCTGGCCCGACACCTACTCCCCGCCCACGGCGCCGGCCGCCTTCCTGGCGACGACGCAAGGCGGCGCCTGCGAAGCCGCCTGGAAAAACTTCCAGGGAACCTGCGGGGCCGCCTCCATGAACCCCACCTGGGCCGCTCAGAATTGCTTGTCGTCCACCGCGTGCCTGAGTCTGGCCAGCGCGGCGCTGATAGACTGCGTCACGTCCTGCGAAGCGCAAGCCCTTCCCACGTACCTATCAAGTGCAAAAATGTCTGGGTCTGGAAGGGTGCGCGATTTGTCATGAAGCTTTTCCATGACCCATGAGGTCTGGATCTGGAATGCAGGACCTAGCATGACAGATTGCGTGCCATCTTTCTCATGCCTATCCTGCATGAGAAACTCCCTCCCGACTTGGTCAAAAGTGGACGACTTGTGCTAAGCATGCAACACAGATTTTTGCATGCTTCAGATTTAGCATGACAAGTTGCATTCTTCCAGACCCAGACATTTTTGCATTTGATAGTGCCAGTCGTGCTACTACGCCGAAATGATTCACGAGGACCTGCTGTGCACGACCAAGCAAGCCGTGACCTCCATCAACACCAACAGCCTCACCACTCCACCGGGCGCCCAGAACATCGACGCCCTGGTGAAGATGGCCATGCAGGGATTGTTTCCCTACCCGACGCTTGACGCCACAGTGAACGTGTATGGAAGTGTCAGGACCGAAATCGTCAGAGTTGAAATAATTTGTGATGCGTAAAACGGATACCAGTTGGCGCCTAGTTTTCAAGTGGCGCATGACAAATTTGGGTAGAACTGAAATCCAGTTTGTAATGCTGCTTGGGTAAGGAAGACGCCTTTTGTAGTCAGGCTACTTTAGCAGCTCAATTTTTACCCCTCGACAGGGTTGCAATCTGCATCCGTTGCGTCCTCTGCAATAGAGGCAATCTTTGCGTTGCATTTTATGCATTACAAGTTATTTCAACTTTGACGATTTCGATTCTGACACATCCATAACGTGGCGCCAGCGGGCACGACGGGCGCCGCGGTCACGAAAGCGTGCTACGACGCCGTCGCGGACCCGAACGGGTACGTGGTGACGGCCCTCAAAACTATCAAATGTAAAAATGTCTGGGTCTGGAAGGGTTGGAACTTGTGATGCAACCTTTGGAACACACAAAAATTTCAATTTGTGTTGCATGAGCGCCAAAAGCTGTCCATTTCTTGGCACGCAAGTAGGAAGTTTCTCATGCGGGACAGGCATCATGAGGCGTGCTCAAAACCTGTGATGCTTTCGCCTGCATCAGACGCCACCTGCGTGATCCGAAATATGGATGACAAATCTCAGAATCTTCCAGACCCAGACATTTTTACATTTGATAAAAACCGGGGAGAAGCCATCCGTCTGCGGGTTCCTGACCAACCTCAAAAAAATCGTCACGGAATGCGATATGAACTGCAAAAGTATCGCACTCGTAATATTATAAATGCATTTTTACAAATTTCCTCAGCATGAGAGAGAAAATTTGTAATGCGGATTTGCGATAAGAAAAAGATTTTGATTTATAAATGCATGATTTTATTGATTGCAGTTACTACGAGTACGATACTTTTGCACAGGATATGCGATCCGATCAAGCAACTGTCGCTCCTGAAGTACGGAACGGAAGCGACGGAGGCCCTCGCCTCCATCAACTCCCAAATCCAAATCTGCGAGCGCACAAACAAAACCAACCTATCGAATGCCAAAATGTCTGGGTCTGGAACTACAAGGTTGGATGAACTTGTGATGCTAGTAACTACTTTGGACGGTAAAAAAATCTGTATTGCATGTTGACCAGCAGGAGGAGTCTGGTTTGTGCTACGGCGCCAGCGGCGGGAGGGCATTTGTCATGCGGTGTAGGCATGATCTTCAGGAAGCCCTCTAAGATAAATCTGTGAAGTAGATGCTAGGTCGTGCATTACAGACATACTAGGTCGAGCAAAATATGCATGACAAATAATTCGGCAACATTCCAGACCCGGACATCACTTTTGCACTTGACACAACGAGGAGATCGACGAAACGGTGATCATTGTGATCGTCGTCGTCATATGAACTGCAAAAGTATCGTAGTAGTATAAATGTAATTCTTGCATTGTAAATCTTTTTCTTAAGGTAAACCCGCATTAGAGCGGGGTAACAAACCTCCCATAAGAAGTTACCGGCTAACTTCTCATCCACCCGGCCGGGTGGATGAGAAGTTAGCCTCAGCGAGCCCGTCCGCGGTTGCTACCGCCTTCCCCGTCCGGCCATCGCCCGTCCGTCGTTCCCATTCCCAGGTCTCGGACTCGGCTGGAGGGGGGGGGTTGAGTACATGTAAAAGTAATTTAGCGCTTGACATGCGGAGTCTCTATATGCATGTAAATCGAACCAGGAACCCTAAATCCCTAAAACCCTGAAACACGACGTCGCGGCGATCCGGGACTGAAGGAGGAAAGAAGATTTTACGACGGCGGGACGGTGGGAGGTCGGAACAGCGGACGCGGAGGAGGACATTTGATGGTCCTAGGCCTAGACCTAGACCTACACCGATTTGTCCGGGTGGGGACAAGCGAAAAGAAAAACTGCTTGGTGCCAGTTGGGCCCGGGAAAAAAGGAGAAAAAAGCAACATAGTAAGCGAATTATGAAGCCATTTGGAAAAAAGCGCTATCAAAAAGCCTTGCGCCCTGATCCTTTCGGGCGTGCACTCCCTTCAGGCTCTAAAGCTTCAGCAGTGCTGAGAGCGCTCCGGCCCTAAACCTCAAGACGGATGTCAAGAGATCTACGCACGTATGCGCGCGAGCAGTTGGCTGCGAGTTAAACCTATGCACTTTCCCCCCTGGTTACCCCCCTGGTTACTTCGTGTTGGTTGGTTTGGTTGCGAGTTAAACCAGACTCGCAAGGGGGGAAAATCCATATCAACCAAACCAACCAACACGAAGGAACCAGGGGGGGGAAAATGCATATCAAACAAATGCTACTTACTTTTACATGCATGCTAGAGATTCTGTCTAGGAGTAGAAATGCGTATCAAATGCTACTTGTAGAGATTCCGCGAATTACTTTTGCGCGCATATATTAAAGTGCTCAATTCCTTTTGCATGTACTCAACCCCCCCCCCTCCAGCCGAGATCTGGGAATGGGAACGACGGACGGGCGCGAGCCCGACGGGGAAGGCGGTAGCAACCGCGGACGGGCTCGCTGAGGCTAACTTCTCATCCACCCGGCCGGGTGGATGAGAAGTTACCCGGTAACTTCTTATGGGAGGTTTGTTACCCCGCTCTTACAAATTTTATTTCTCATGCTGAGGAAATTTGTATTGCAATTTCTACTACTACGAACGAGACTTTTGCAGTTCATACGTCATCTCCGTCATTGCGGTGCTCGGCATCACGGCTAATAAATGCAAAAATGTCTGGGTCTGGAAGGTTAGAACTTGTGATGCTGGTTCTGGATCATGCAAAAATCTGTGTTGCATGAAAGCCAAAAGTTGTCCACTTTTGACGAAGGTGAGAGGAAGTTTCTCATGCAGGCTAGGCATGGTAGGGATCCCACAGAATCTGTCATGCTAGGTCCTGCATTCCAGACGACATGGATCATGGAAAATCTGCATGACAAATCGCGCATTCTTCCAGACCCAGACACTTTTAGATCTGATAGCGGCCCTGGTCATGCACTTCTCGCACGGCGCCCACAACACCACGCAAGACCTGCAGACCTCGCACTACGAACTCGCCCAGAAAACCGACGAGCTGCACGCCAAGACCGACGACCTGCACGCCAAGCACGACGTGTTGCACGAGAAAATCGAAAAGTGATCATGGGATGGAAGCAGCACAGTGGAAGAAGATCGTCGCAGCTGCCCACTTCATTTCCGCGTGAGGAGCAGCTTCTCAAATCGGCAAGTAGGTCATGAGGAGCCGAAAGACCTACTTAGTATTTCCGGCATCAAGGTCGTGAGCCGGGTAGACGAGTGTTGAGATCTAAGTATTGTTTACCTTCTATTGTCTTTTATGATTATTTGCACAAGAACAAGCGAATTCCTATTTCTTCTTAAACAAGCCAATGCTGTTGCACTACTATAATTTGAATTTCGTCGTCTCGATCACGCCACTAAATTTTCCATTTTGATCCTTACATTATCGCTCGTCGTCGCGTGGAGTTGATTCCGTATCCTTTAAAATAAATCATGGTGTATAGTAAATAAAAAATAAAATCACATCAAAAATGTTACTGCTACAAACCATTTGCTATGAAGATTTCGACCAATTTTGTAATATTGCGTCTGCTCCTCTAATGGTCAACATGGGAGTTCTTGTAGAGGACTTTTGCAATTCGCATTTTATTTCCGAGTATAGCGTGAACTTTCTGGAAAGAACTCAATACTTCACAACTTGATGCACACTAACAAGAATCAATCTAGCTGCTCCTGCTTCTAGCCCAACATCTTCACGAGTCCGCTCGACGCGCATTTTAAGTAATATTTGGGAGGTGTCGTGCTAGAATTGATTCGAGGCGATGAATAGCGACTGAGGAGGAGGTCGTCTCGCTCGATGTCGATTACATCTACATACAAGAATCAGGAAAGTCAGTCGATCGGAATAAATCAGTGTCACTAACATTTACATTTTGCATATTTATAGTTTACTAGCACCATCTCTATTATTATCGCCCCACATGCATCTCCCGCTCCCCAGAAAAGGTAGTACTAGTAGTAGCTCTTCAAGAAAAATATTTCTGTAGTATCTGTAGATGATTTGTTCTTCTGTTCTAGCTCTGTCTTTGCTGAAGATGAAGATGGCCGGTTTTTATTTCTTTGTATGTTAAGTAAAAAACCATTCCTGACTTGCCTCTGGCTCTGCATGTCCATCGACGGCACAGCGCACTTAGTTGCAATTAGCAAGAATTTTGAAGGTGCATGTAGTGGCTTTTTCTTTTTGATTTCAAACTTTGCCAGCGTCCATCGGAAGTTTTTGATACTTTAATACATGGAAATAGTTCGAGTCTGTCGGAGTAAACGAGTGACGCAGTTGTAGTGTTGTCCCCGCAGTGCCAGAAGTGCTTGTGCTTTTTTCTCATGTCAAGAATCGAATCGCCCTGCTGTCTAAGTTCAAGTATACTCGTCACTAGCGTTTATTTCTGGTTAGACACGACACACACATCGGCGCCTAATATCTTCAGCAGGCTTGTAATTAGTCTACAATGAAAATCCTTCCCCAGAGGATGAAGACCTCCGAGAAGATGCTGTAGACTAGAGATCACAAAGTGGAAGTAGTGCAGCTGCGCTGATCTAGTGGAGTTCTTGAAGCTGCGCCTCGTGATCCAGAAGATCATGACCTCAGCAAGAAGTCGTGTTGAAAAATGAAACAAGCCGGGATGTTGAAAAGACAGAACGAGAACGAGAATGAGAACGAGAACGCAACTACAACTACTTTGATCCAAACAATCAGGAGGTTGAAAGTCTACTCCTCTTGCCCATCATGGTTTCCCTCTGAGGATCCTCGGAACCACCATGCGATGCTGGGCAGGATCGGATTTATTTCTTGGAAGGTTCTTGTTCCAGTTTGTTCTAGCGATCAAGTTGTGGAAGATATTGAGCCACATCATGATCGAAAAGCAAATGGCGAGTCGCGTTTTGCTTTTTTGGCATGCATGCATGCAAATGCATGGCGTTGAGATCGATTAAGATATCACATAGTTCTTGTGCCTGAGTATGGTCCATCAAAGATTCATGACCCTGAAAAATCTCAAGGATAATCTTGCTGATTCTGATGATAATTCTGTTTCTGTTGGTTTATCCTTATTTGATCTGATGACTCAAGTTTGTCTTTCTGGAATGTGTGTTTCAATCGAATATATCTAAGATAATAATGAAAATCCTCTGGATTGAAAATAATCCCATCGAATGAATTTCCAGGATAGAATCAAATCTGGAAAGAATAAATAATCAATAATCGATCTTGAATCTTTGAATCATTACTATCTATTATATTCATGTGAAAGCATTGGTCTAGAGAGGGTAAACGAGAGGTGGCAGGGAGGTAAAAAAGAGGTCAAAAGGGGTCGAAAAGAGGTCGACAGAGGTGGAGAGGTGGCGCGGGAGGCAGTTCGAGAGGGTGCGTGAGAGGTGGCGTGAGTATAGCCCGCCGAGCCGGTCGCCCTTTAGGGCCGCTAAGCGCCTCGGAGGGTGCCGAGAGGTAGAAAAGAGGGAAGGCGAGAGGTGGACAGAGGTGCCGAGAGGTTGCGCGAATAAGGGGCGACCTCCCGCGGATCCTCTTGGCCACCTCTCGGCCACCTCTGTCGACCTCTACCCGCGAGTATAGTCAGGCGGGCGCGCCCCGCTCTGTCTTCCTAGGTAAAAAACCGCTAAAATTCCCGGCGTTTCGCGATTTCCGTGGCGCCGGCCTGCCCGGTTGCGCCGACGCTTCGGGGCAGTGTGGTGGCCGACCCCACCCGGGCCCTGGAATTTCTTTGTTTTGCCCCATCCCAACGTGGTTGGTTCCTGTCGCCCCGCCCGTATCTGTTTGCCCGGTGCCGTCGTGTCGATGGTTTCTCCAGGGAATTAAAATTTAAAAATTCGGGCAGTTTTCGGTGGTTTCCCGGTAGCCCACATGTCTCGCAGGTGTTCTGGGGATCGGGGCGCAGCCCTCGTCGTGTTTCTTTCTCCACCTGCTTTGGGTGGGGGCGTGTTCCACATGTGGGCTAGGTAGTTGGGATGTGCTCCACACGCGAATATTCCTGGGAAGGTTCCTCGACCTGCTCTGGAATGTTCCTGTTTTGGTTCCGAACATGATGGTTGAAAAAGTTCAACCATCATGCTCATCACGCGCGGGTGGTGAGGGTATAGGACTTTCTGGGCGCCGGACTTGGAGCATGAAAATCATCTAAACAGGGATGTTCATGTGTCCGTCCCGGCTTCTAATCATCTTCTAATTCTTGGCTCCAAGTCCAAAGTCGCAAAATCCTACGGGATTTTGCGCTACATGGAAATTAGAAACTCCCCTGACATGTTCCGGGGAGCCAGATTTCCACCGGACTTGGAACAGAATTTATTAGAAGAAAATTAGAAGAATTTTTAGAAGCCAAATTAGAAGCGGTTTTAGAAGGGTGAATTAAAAGAGATTTTAGAAGACAAATTAGAAGGGATTTTAGAAGGGTGAATTAGAAGGAATTTTAGAAGGCAAATTAGAGGGGATTTTAGAAGGGCAAATTAAAAGGGGGATTTTAGAAGGGAGAATTAGAAGAAACCTTTAGCAGAGGAAATTAGAAGGGGAAAATACAGGGTGTTTTCAGGCGGGAGGAATAGAAGTCGCACTGGGTGGTGGGGCTCGGGGTCGCAGAGTTTCGGGCAATGGGTGGGTCGCAATGTCGTGGAAGCCACCTCGCAGGTGTCGCCACGGGCAATTTTTGAAGCCGACAAAGGGGGCGATGTCGGCTACCGTTCCCCGGCCCCTGGTGTTTCTTGGTTTCGGGTCTTTTCGGTTTTCCCTGTTTCGGGAGGGGGTGTGAGGATGGGAGGTTGTCTCCGGGTCTGGGATCAGGAAAAAACCGAATCGCCGGAAAAATTAGGGCTATTTTAGAACGCAAGGCAGAACGGGTGTTTCCCGCCTGAGTATAGCCGGACTATTAGCGGGGAGGGGATGGACCCCCAAAAGAGGCCAAAGAGAGGGCTTGCGACAGGTCTGTGAGGAGGTAAAAACAGAAAGAAATAGGCGCGAATCCACATGGCGCTGCCCATATCTCGCATTGCAGGCCCTTGCAGCTTGTTTTGTTCGGCGTCTTTCCGCGCCACCCTCTCGCGCTACCCTCTCGCGCTACCCTCCCGCGCGGGGTGGCTTCTGTTCGCCCCCGGTGTTCTTTGCAGCTGCTCCCTGCGCAGAGCGCCCAAAGGCGCGGGAGGCGCGCAAGGGGTCCTGCGGGTTGGAGCGGCGTAAACAGGCGGCAGGACTCCAATATGTTGCGTCGTGCGCAGGCCCATGGTGTTGTGGTCCAATTGGCGCACAGTCTTGCCCCGGTCCAACAGTCTTGCGCCCCGGCGGCAGGCAGCCGGAGCATGGCTGGTATCTAGATATGGAATGAAAGAAAGTAAGAAATTCATCAATATTATTTAGACCGATGATAAGAACACATGAAGGAGTTCAAAAGTGCGCCCAGATTCTATTGATTCAGATATTCCCAAAAGATTGTTTCAGAATTTTTCAAATGTTCTTTCTTTCTTTCTTGTCATGTCAGGGCATGACTCAAATTGTCTCATAGGTCCGGTGCGAAATTGTCTTTCTTCGTTCTCATCATCTTGTCGCTCTCTTTTCAAATGTGTTCATGTGCATTTTTTCTTCTTGAGGATTCTTTTCTTCTTGAGGATTTTCTTTTTCTGCAGAATCTTTCTGCATAATTCGAGGTGGTAACACAAATATCAGATGAAAATCCAAATCATCTAATGAAAAAAAATCTATCTAGGAAATCAACCGAAAAATGAAAAAGATATGGGAAAAGAAAACTCAATTTGAGGATAGAATCAAGAATAAAAAGACTATGATGATGACAGGAAGATCGGAAAATAAAGAAGAAAAAGAGATCATGAAGGATTTTTATTGTAGGTTCTTGAATATTAATTGTTATTTCATTTGATATATATCTTAATCTTTTTTATCCAAATATGGAAAGAGTTCATTCTTGATATTTAGAAAATCATATCCATGATATGACCGCTCGAAGGAAAATATCTTCATTTTTTGAAATTTTTCCTATAGATTCTCTCGAAAAGATAATTTGTCATGAACAATAGAAATATTTTTTTATGATGACAAGAGCGATCATTTGACATTTTTATGATGACAAGAAACAACTTTTCGGTTTCAATAAGAAGTAAAAATCAACTTTCAATTTCAAGAACAGAAAGCTAGTAAGCGTAAGACAGCCCCACGCGGCGCTGCAGCCAAGAGTTGGAAAGCAACAAAAAATACAGACAAAAACAAAAAAAAAAAACAGTTCCTCCAAGTTAGCGCTTCGCTTTTTGTAACAACTCGAAACAAAAACTTTTGCTTTCTTTCAACTCTTTAACTTCAGGCAACCAGGTAGCTCTCGACAACAAAAAGACTGTAGAGCAAGCCTTTCTTTCCTCGGAAACAACTTTTCTGAAAAACACGCTTTTGACTTACGACGCACTTTTTAACTTTTCAACAACAACTTTTTACTTGCAACAACAGACTTTTAACTTTCGACGCTTCTAACTTTTTAAGTTTTACAGCAGGCTAGACAAATCAAGCTCTCGCTCCTAGCAACAGTTCCTTTTTCTAAGGCAGAGGCCAAAGCAGCTCTGCCAAGTTGTCCTTTTTCTTGAAATAGCGCTAATCATGTGAGGGGAAACACAAACTTCCAAACGGTTCCACATGACCTTCATCAACAAACAAACAAACAAACATCATTTGACATCATGCCCAGATACGACAAGAAAGAAAGAAAGAAAAATATTTGACCTTATTCACATTGCATTAACTAGCAAAATTTCGACACACACTTTTACCAATATGCAATATGACAATATGACAATATGACTGCGGCACTTTGAGCAAAATGGCCGGAATGTGTTGAAAGTCGGAACCCCCGCCTCCGAAAGCGGGCCCGGCAACGCCCGCCACTACTTGCGCTGCAAGGCCCGCTTCCTGTCCCTCCATTTCGTTTGAGCGCCAACGAGACGGCGCGTCATGCGCTCTCCCTCAGTGAAAGGGCACAATTGTCCGAACCAGAGGAACATGTGCGCGACCTGGGCCGTTGCGACCCGAATGACTTTGCCACGGGTCGCCCGCTCTCATGCGAATTTTCCGCACGGGAACCCAAACGCAATTGCTCAAAATTCAGCTGTCGTTACGTCATAATGCTTTATTCGTGGCGTGGGTGTGGCTATTAGCATCGCGCGTTGCGCTTTCGTAGTACAGTAAGCGCTGACACCCCAGAGCCGGGGCGATGCTGCTAAAAGCTGCAGCGCACTAGGAGGCGCTACAACTGCGACGCTGCCTATGGAAACAAAGAAGTAGACTGTTGCCAGGCGCGGCGCACGAGCGCCGCGCCCCCTCTAGGTTCAACAGACTGGGCAAGTGCGAGAGGGGCGGAAGAAATGCATACGGCTCATCGCCCCAAATTTGCCGCGAATGCATACGCACCCGCCTAAGGGGTCCTAGAATCACAACACCCGGCCGACAACGTGTCGGGTGTGGCCAATTTTCAGCCGCCGGGCTGTCGCGAGCAATATGCATTATGACAATATGACAATATTGCAATATGATAATGCATGTCTTGGAAGGTTTTTCATGTCGTCGTGGTCAGATGTCATATTGGTATGGAGCGTAGGTGTACTACCGCTACCGGGTTATTCGATGTACTACCGGGTTAGTCAAGGTGCCCCAAATTTGAAAAGTCAAGGTCAGCGCAAAAAAAAAGTCAAGGTCGGGAAATCCGTTGTC